TCGCAATTTAAAATCATTTTTGGATTCATTCTAAAAATAAATTGGATTCTTCCTTTTGCGAATGAATACGCTTATAAATCAACCACTAATAATAATCGGTTTATAATCGGCACAATTACGAGCGTTTCCGAGTACCATAGATAGAGTACCAAGTGGTTTTATTATCAAAAAATGTTGTCAGTAAAATCGATGTCAGAGCAACAAGTACTCAAGCAGATTACGTTTCAGTTTGAATCTGCCACAATGATAATGAACTCTGGAAGGGAGAAACTCCAACCGATTCTTTACCCTTCAGACTTTACTAATTACTATAGAATCCTTAAAACATTTACCAAAGCGAAAATGAACAGCTGAATCGAAATTGATGAACTTCCCCAAACTAAACTACTCTATAATGCATTACACAAGAGAAGTTTAAACACTTACCTTATTAACTTGACGATTTTTGACACAAAAACTTGTTAACTAAGTCGAATTTGAAAACTCGTTAAAATGTGCATTTTTGATGTATCTTTAATTTACCGCAAAACTTTTTTTGATTATTTTTAATTAATGAAGCTGTTGGCATCGCGAACTTTACGACTGAACGCAAAATTAGACGGCGATCACACCAAGAGCTTTCGCAATACTGGATCATCCTGAAAGGACTACTTCAGGAGGACGCAGGATAAACGAACCTGCGCTTGCGCTTAATCTTTTTTTCGTACATCCAACAGCTACAGGTTAACGAGGTTACGATGTTGAAAAGGGAACCCCCTCGGTGTTGTTTAAAATTTTTAGTATTAATACGTGGAATGTAGAGTTATTTTATTACGAAGTGAAATGCATCGTAATTCAAATATAAAAAAAAATAATAGAAAAATATAAAAGAACGAAAACTTAAACTTGATTTACTGCTAATGCAAAATAATATTGAAGCCTTGTAGTATCATAACTTATAAGTTTATAAAGGTGATTAGAATTCTGTTGGGAGACTCCCTGTTTTAGATTTAATACGCTTGGTAGTGACAGGTTGCGGGAATTCACTTAGAACCCATCCTCGTTCCTATCTCCGCATAAACCAGAGGTTTCCAACCGTCTTTGGACCTTCCCTTTTGCAAGAAATTATATTTCCAACTTTCCCAAGTATAATAACACTCAAAACTATGTTAAACTTAATACTTAATTAAAATTTTATTAATTTTAAGTAAAACAAATGTCAACTGTTCTTTCTGCCTGGATTCCATTTGAAGAGGAGAAGTTTTCCAGAAAAGTAGCAAAAGATTTTTTGGTTTTGGCTTCACTCCAACACCAAATTCATTTCATCAAATAGTTTGTACATATCTAAGAAGTCAAGGATATCATGTTTGGACAATTTAAGTTAATAATTTGCTTCTATTCTTGGGTAAGAATATTTCTTCAAATTCCTCAATCTTCAATTTCTTGCCTAACTTCTGTCTTCCACATAAGTAGGGAAATGTGTTGCATGAAATAACTTTTTGTAATGATTGTGTGAAAAGTCCAAAATTACCAAAAGCCAAGAAGTTGCAAACAATAACTTGCACTTCTTGTTTAATTAATTATACAGAGAGGAAACACAACAAAGTGTTGAGTAATATACACGAACACGCGAATATAGTTGGAGAGGAGGTTTTTGTAAGTAAGATATACGATTATAAAGTTGAAAAATTTTCATGAATGCCGTTAAGATTTTGAATAATTTTTTTGCAAAGAAAATTTGTCAATTTAACAGTAGTTTTAATAGAGTTAAAATTAATAACAATGTTTGCATGAGCACGAATGATAGCAATACCGCCAGACGTTTTTCCAAGAACTCGGATAACTAAGCTGAAATTGCCCGAGATTCTGTTGATTTAACAAAAAGATTTAATAAGTTTTACAAATATTAGTTGGCAAATTTACTACTCATACAGAAAAATGGAAAGATTATGTATTAAAAATATCCTTGAACCAAAAATCATAATAATAGTAAATAAATGATGTTAAATTAACGACAAAAAAGTTTTGGATATGGTATTCACTCCAACCCAAGATATTGAAAGTGGCCCAAGATTCCGCCACAAAATCATCAAAGTAAAGCTTTTTACCTCCTTTTTCCTAATTTGGTCTCACTTTGTGGTGTGGAAAACCTACCCCAAATACTGCAGATCTTCCTTTTTTGAAATCAAAACAACGAAGATATCATACTCGAAATCCAATCCTCGCATAGATTTACAAATGCCAAAAAATATTGAAGAATTCATGTTTGATGCAATTTTAGCATTCATTACACAGTACTTAATAATGTCCACTTTTCTTAGAAGGACACATTGAGTTGGGTTGGTGTTGTGTAGAGGTGATGCTTGCCTCCGTGTTTTATGTTAAACTCTTGCACATTTCCAAATGGTCCTAACAATCCGTGATAGTCAAGAAAATCAACACCAACTATGGACTTAGACACTCAAATCGCAATCAAACGTCATGTGTTTCATGTACATCATCTCCCATTATGTTTTAATATTATTGCTAGAGATAGTACACCCGTAGTGGTTTATTCTATACGATGTTTTCCCTTTAATTTATTGTACTTCGTTTTATTAGCGCCGCATAAAATTTGTTGTTTTAAGACCACTCAAATCTAAACGAGCTTAGGACACTTCCTAAGATACCTTATTCTTTCTTGGATGTATTTAGTGTACAGGGCGTTCTTGCCATAATATACTTCGACAATGGCTGACTTTTTCAGCAAAATTATTGAAAACTTAAAAACATATTAGCTTACTTTAAAATTGTATCCATGATATACTCAAGCCCAGGTATTCGCATTGCCAAAGAAGTGTAGAAAAGACACTCAAAACATGTTAACCACTTGGATGCAAGGCAATTATGATTCACACTGAAGTGATATCAAGCAAACTCCCAATAAAGTTCTATTAGGTGTAAAGTGCAGATAGACTTGTCATAACCACATTATTTCACGCGAAACATCGTAACTGAAAAAGACTTGGAGAAAGTCTTAACCAGATTATAGCAAATCGCAAGGATTTTACATTGCAACCCCGCTTAGGTGGATATAGAGACAAGTCAGGTCTCTAATAACTGTGTGAAATAAGCATGCAACTCTGAAATAAGCAAGTGCGCAGGATAAGAAATCTTTTGACAAAAAACTACTGGTGATCATACTTGCATAGAATGAAGATGTGCCATCCAAAGTCAATCCTAAGTACTCAAGCGATGAAGCACATGAGTCTAGTGTGCAAAAAAATGCGTAGCATTAATAGACGCCAATTTGGTAAAGAAATGCTGCAGCAATACAATCAATTGAGACCGGGCAAAGATTTCAAAAGTGGCTGTGCAAAGTTGTTCAAAATGTTTATGCTTCAACAATAAAATTCTAAATGCCACTACAGATTACTCTGAAGAAATACAAAGAGTATCGTTTAATTTTTTCATTCTCACTGTGTGTTTTGCAGATTTCGTAGGAGATGCGTTGTTGTCGGCGGAGAAATTTTCTTCAGTAGGTAGTGCAAAACTGCTTCTTATTCTTTCTTTTCCCCGGCATACCCCTATCCTGATCTTGAACCAATCTTCTGGAAGATCTTTGAAGTACTGCATAGGCTACTCTCGGCTGGCCGCAATCTGCATTACTGTCTCTTCCCATGTTATTCTCGATCTCCCTATAGGTCGTCTTGGCGCGTCCATGTATTTTTATGGTTTCCTCACATGTTCCATTCTTCTCCATCATCCTTTCGACCGACTGCATATTGAGCTCTTCTCTAATACGGCTATTTCGTACTCTATCCCATAGTGTCCTTCCTGCAATCTTCCGAAGGTATTTTATTTGGCCCGCATTAACTACGTTAAGTAGTTTGCTACGTGTAGAGAAAATTTTAATAAAACGCGTAATGTAATGTATTTTAAAAGAAAATTTTATATAAAACGCGATGTGATTTTAAATTCGTTTGTATTATTTTCTTTTCATTTGATTGAATTTCTTTAATAACGCATTAAAAAACCTCAAGAGATATTTGAAAATAGTATTAGCAAGATGAAATGTTTTATTCATAAGTAAGAGAGAACCCTGGCATTGAAATTGAATGGAATGTTGTTTAATTCATATTGACGCAGGTAAATACAGATCGATTATGCAAATTTAAAGCCTTTACAGTACTAATTTGGAATTAGCGTCTTTATTACCTATCACTTAGGTGTATTCTATTTTGATCCATTTAAAATAAAATTTATAGAATATTCATCGCCCATTTCGGAAATGTGTATGTTATTCATGGAAAAATTCAATTCCAGTTACAAAGTGGAGCTCCTCCAGGTAGAAGCTTCAAGTCACGTCGTTATGTATTATAGGATTACATCAATAAAATGTAATAAAAACGATTCTTTTTAGGAAAACTACGTTTTAGTAAGCCAAATAGACTAATTGTAAAGTTGTAATTAAGAGGTAATGAATTCACAAATTAATTTCCGAGTGTCGATTAAATAAAGTTTGGAAGCCTTGAATTTTGGGAATTATGTTTATTCACGCGATCAAATTTTCTTAAAAATAAAAATAAATTTCATATTGTTTTGAATGGTACCCTTTTAAATCAATATTCTAAACGAAATGCTAAAAATCCATTAGCTTATTGCCCGTCTTAATTATTCCCCGGCATAAATTGATGGCGTTTCCATTGAATTCATGTCTGGAATTGAAGCCCAATATCTTTGTTTAGATCACGCGAACTTTTCGCGTGCCCCAAGACGATAATTAGGAGATATAAGGTTCTACAACCCCCCGAAAAAATACTATAAAGATGACACACTTTTAAAAAGAAACAAAAAGAAATTTTATTTAATTATTTTGTCTTTGTTGGCACGGGACTATTTTTCGGTTTATTTAACTGACAAAGAAAATATTGTCCACTTCAAAAGCACGGAGACGGATTTATTTGAAATAGACGGATGAGTTAATCGAGTCTTGAATAATATTTGGTCAGATTTATTTTTATCGAAATCAAAATAAGAAATTATACATTTCTAAAATAAAGATTTATTAAATGTATCACAGTTGTACATCGGCACTATAATACAAAGCGGTCTATAAACAAAAAAAAAAGTTGTAGAAAAATACAATTTGAAATCTGACTACATTAGAAAAAAAAAGTATGGAGCTTTTATTGTTCGTTTAAGGAATTTATTTATTTTTTAGCTTAAGTACGGTAAATGAACTACTTAAAGTTGATATAAAAAGCTTTATAAACGAAAAAATGACACTCATTAGCTTACACAATACAAATTGCTCAAAACGATGGTTGTTTAGTTTACGTTATTCGGACATTTAATGCTTAAATTTTAATTAATCTCTAATTTCTTATTCGCAAATCTCTAATCGTTATCAAAATGGGGATCGAGTCGAATTTTCTTTAGTTACACGGCTTCCGGGTCGAAGAACAACGATGAAAATGCAAATATTAGAAACACAATTCCACCAATTATTGTTACTGAAAACGAAAAATTAATCCTTAAAAATTTATAAGTAATAAAATATAATAATTTACCTGTTCTTACTGATATCCTTTGAGCTATCATTCGCCCACCTAAAACTGCAGCCCCTGTACACACCGAATGACCCGCGATACCACCGATAATTACTCCATAAACATCCTAATAAAATTGAAATAAAATTTTTTGTTATACAGCCATCAATCTTTATCATATCTTTTCGATTCAATGACACTTTTTAAAATGATTGATTTGGAAATAAAAAAAACTATTTAAAATTTTTAATTACAGTAAAACCTCCATATAACGGATTAATATGGATTAATAATAATAATAACGGATTAATAATTTTAATGCACACAAATTCGAATAGCTATCGACACCGTTGCGTTCTGTATTAGTTAGTTCACTTCTATTTCAATTAAAATACACTAAGTACCTACAACATTATAGTGTTAGTTGTACATAGTAACAGTGCACTAGTGTAAAACTAGAACTAACACTAGACCTAGAACTAGAAACATTCGGGTTTAGCCGTGCGTCTAAAGAGAAATTAGCAATATGTAGTCTAAAGACGCACGGCTAAACCCGAATGTTTCTAGTTCTAGATCTAGTGTTAGATCTAGTGTTAGTTCTAGTTTTAATTGTTATGTAGCGCTAGACCAAGAACTAGAATCATTCGGGTTTGTTTAGCCGTCTTAAGAGACGTACGGCGAAACCCAAATGTTTCTAGGTCTAATGTTAGTTCTAGTAACAGTGCAAGTGTAAAACTAGAACTAACACTATACCTAGAACTAGAATCATTTGGGTTTAGCCGCACGTCTCTAAAGACGGCTAAACCCAAATGATTCTAGGTCTAGTGTTAGTTCCAGTTTTAATTGTTGTGCAGCGCTAGACTAAGAACTAGTATCATTCGGGTTTAGCCGTCTTAAAAGGCTCGTGGAGACATGTTTAGTAATTTAGTCGAGTAGCGAGTAGCCACTTACCGCTAGAACGTTTACTAGATTGCAACTGTCCACATTTAATACGCTCAAAACACTTTAGTGGTACTCAAGATGAGCGTCGCTGGTCATCGCGCGCAATACAATAATATAAGAAATATAATTCATATGCTTATAGAGGAAATTGAAGAAGTGTCTGAAAAACTTGATAAGCGTATATGGGTTACAAAGTGGATGAGAAGCATTTCATTAGGGGCATCAATTGCTCTTGTATTACTACCTCTTAACACATTATCCAGTATTTGAACACATTTTATGGATGGAACATAAACTGTATCGCCACTAGATCCAGATGTCATAGAATCCTTATTTTTTTTTTGCTCCTGTGAATATCCTTTTCTGCAAAACCTGGAATATTCATAACCTTTTTCAAATCTTCATAAGCTTTTTGTTTTGCTAACCTGTCTTTATAAGTAACATTTTTAATGTGACATAAACATTCATGTTTGACATTTTTTCTAACAAACTTGACAGTAGTGTTTTCGCTCCATCGCTCAGACATGTTTGTTATTATTTATTATACTAGATATTGCTAATTCACTAAACTAAATTTATGCGTTCGCACGTGTTTAGTGGCAGTTGTAAATAGTGGGGGTACGCTACTCGACCGAAAAAATAGTATCAAATGGATCTACTCGACTAAATCTTGATTAACTTGTAGTGTCCGCACATAGCGAGTTACTAAATTGCTCGCTACTCGACTAAATTACTAAACGTGTCTGTACGAGCCGTAAGAGACGTACGGCTAAACCCAAATGTTTCTAGGTCTAATGTTAGTTCTAGTGGCAGTGCAAGTGTAAAACTAGAACTAACACTATACCTAAAACTAGAATCATTCGGGTTTAGCCGTCTTTAGAGATGTGCGGCTAAACGCAAATGATTCTAGTTCTAGGTATAGTGTTAGTTCTACATAATAACAGTGCAAGTGTAAAACTAGAACTAACACTATATCTAGAACTAGAATCATTCGGGTCAAGCCGTTTTTAGAGACGTGCGGCTAAACCCAAATGATTCTAGTTCTAGGTATAGTGTTAGTTCTACATAATAATAGTGCAAGAGTAAAACCAGAACTAACACTAGCCCTGGAACTAGAAAGTTTCGGGTTTAGCCGTCTTTAGAGACTAATAAAAATATACAATAATCTAGCGCTGAATAACAATTAAAACTAGAACTACCGTTCTTGATTTATACATCATATAAACAACTCGTGGAATATCCCGAGTTTATCTATGAATATGAAATAGAGCAAACTTTCAGTTTTCCAAATAAAATACAATATTAACAATAATAACAAATGATACGAAATTGACGCCATAAATTTGAGTACACAGTTAAGCAAAAGTGATTAAGTTTAGGTTGGTATTATGTTTTAATCCGCTATAGGCCCGCCATTAGCGTCAATTGCCGCCTGCATTCGCCGTGGCATGATGGAGTACACTAACTTTTTGGTGTAGTTTGGCGAGATTCTATCTCAAATTTTGCAAATTCCATTTTTCAATTCGCTTTTATTTCGGCACTTGCTATTTTTTAACTGAAATTTAACATCTCTCCAATAAATGTTCAATAGGATTCATATCCGGAGACTGTGGTGGTGTTTTTAGTTGTTTTGAAGTATTGTATAACACCATTCCATCAGAAGGTATGATGTATGTTTAGGTTCATTATCTTGTTGGAACCAGAACACAGTCGGAAGGTTAAGTTTTTGAGAGCTTGGCACATCCAAATAACTAAATTTTGTCATATTTCCCACAATAAACTCTATAGTTCTATCGCCGCTGGCTGCCATTGATCTCCACAGCATTACTGAACCACCCCCATGTTTAACTGTTCCATTAAAGTTTGCTTTGAAATATATTTGGACTTTTGTACAGCATATCCGAATCAGTTTAAAATTAATTTTCATAATTTCGAGAATTACTGCTTATTACGAAAAGAAACAACTTTAGAAATAAGAAAACTCGTGGTGGAGCTATATTCTGAAGGTAAATCCTTTAGAGATATTGGTAAAATTATTGGATGACCTCAATCCACGGTACAAAAAATCGTGAATAAGTGGAGGCATGAAGAAAGATTGAAAAACTCCACTGGCAAAAACAGAACAAAAGTGCTAACAGAATACGATGAACGTAATATTGTACGTAAAGTTAATATAAATCCAAAAATAAGTTTATTAATATTATTACTTCCCATCTTGTTAGATTATGTAAATAAAAAACCCAACCAAAAATAAGTGTTTCAAAATTGACTATGGAAATCTCAAAAATAATAAATGTGTGTCCACTGAAACAGTTCGACGCGTGGTCCGAAAGAATGATCTGCATGGGCGCATTGCGCGGAAAAAAAACCATTTATATCTACATTAAATAGAAGAAAGCGCTTGGAGTTTGCAAAAGCTCATCTAAATAAGCCTCAAAGCTTTTGGGAAAGTGTAATGTCCACTAATGAGACTAAAATTATTCATTGGGGTTCGGCGGAAGACAAATAGTTTGGAGGAAACCAAATTGTGCAAAGCTCTCAAAAACTCTACCTTCCAACTGTGTTCTGGTTCCAACAAGATAATGATCCTAAACATATATCATACCTTGTGAAGGAATGATTATTACACAATACTTCAAAACAACTAAAAACACCATCACAGTTTCCGGATATGAATTTTCTCCAAGAATTTATCATAGTAGGTGATAAAACAGCCTTGTTGTCCACTTTCTTGATTTTATGCGGATAAGATATCAACCGTATCGTCATATCCATGAGATATGCAGTACAAGATGTGAGGATAATAAGAAGGGCAGAACTGGGTATGGACTAATATACCCAGTGGACTGATAACTGATACCAACCTAAAAGCACGTCCGAAAGAAACAACACAATACACAGGGTGATTCTCAACGTATACGCATAAACTGAGGGATCTATTTCTCAGGACAAATAATGACTTATAGATGAAAAAAATTGTAGTAAAAGTTCTTTAGTTTTCTAGATATTCGATATAATCGGCGACATCTAGCTAATGTGTTTCGTAGAAGATGGATAGGTCGAAATGGTCAAATGACTTGTCCAATCCTCTTGATTTTTGCTTTTCGAGTCACTTAAAAAGCATAGTGTACGCCACGGAAGTTAATACTGAGCAAATATTGCAAAATCAGATACATGATGCTGCGTAGACAATCCGCCAACACCCTGGTTTAGGCCGCGCTAGTGGGAGATCGTGGATTCGGGGAGTCCAATTGATATAAAATATGGAAATAACTTCGAACACTTGCTGTGATTTTAAAATGTTCTATGTATTCTTGATTTGAAAGTAAATATCACTGATATCTATGAAACAGAAAATCTTTTACTACAAATTTTTTAGCCTATTAGTCATTATTCGCCGTGAGGAGTAAATCCCCATGTTTATGCGTACAGGTTGAGAATCACCCTGTATGAAAGACTAAAACTGGAAAACCAGGAAAGTAGAAGTAAGGAAAGTAAAATCAGAAGAACAGTGTAGTCTCAACAATAAATGGAAAAAGTTCAGAGAAACGATACTAGGGACAGCTACCAGAATACACGGAACTAAAATTATCAAAACCGGTCAAACTCGAAAGAGAATTAAGTCGTGGAGGAGGGACTTCAGGAGAACGGGAGCGGCAACAAACAAGTTTCAGTTAAAAAATAGCAAGTATCGAAAGAAAAGCGAATTATTTTAGATTCAATTTAGTTAAAACGATTGTGGTTAATATACATATATCACAAACTTTAATAATTATGTGAAATATTCACAATTATTTATCTTCCACTCCCATGTATACTCAATTTTTTGAGGAACTGTATGTATTAAATAGATAACATTAATAGTATGACTTAAACATATTTTGACCGTTTTAGTAGATTTTACTGTAATAGGTATTTTAACCTTGCAGATAAAATAGGTTAATAAATTGTAATTGCAACATTCTAAAATCATTGAAAACTTAGTAGACCATTTCAATGCACAAGACCTTGCATAATTTTTCGGTTTTTTTTTAATTAATTAAAATTAAGTTCAATTATAAATATAATTGTTTTAACAATGATTTTATCATCAACCACTTCAGAAAGTTTATAATTATTTTGAAATATTTTAAGTAGTTAAAATATATCAAATACAAAGAAATAAACATTACAAATCTTTCTAAATTAATTAAATAAAATTTAATCCAATAAGAAAATTAAAAATAAAAAAGGATTTGTTAGTTTTTTTATAAATCAACTTCTTTATCTTTTAATTTATAAACGTGCAGACATTTGTAAACAGTGACATTTTAACAGAAATATAGATAAAAATAAGTGTATCTCGAACGTGACTGTATCAGGCTATTTATAGATAAAAATCACATTGACGTACAGTAACGGTTTCCTTTAAAATTCTATATTTCATTAAAAACAATGCTTTATTCTTTTTTTTGCTTCCCTTTTAATTACTCACTTCTCTTGCTCCTAACACAATGGTAGTTAATTGGGACCGATCGCCCCATTCAGCCAAAAAAGTCAACGTAAAGGCCTGAAGGAAAACTCTTGAAACAGCACTAAGAATACTCTGCTTTGCGGTTCGCTTATTAGCGCCCCCGGCTTCAGGATCCAAATTTTCTTTTTCATACTAAGATAAAGTTATAAAACGGACTTTAATAATTAACGGAGATGATTTCTTTTAAATTACCTCTTCCTCTTTTTTGCGCAAATCCAGTTGAACCTCTTCCATCTCTTCTTGCCCCTCCGTCGACGACATATTGTAACCTTCCTTTAACATTTTTAATCCGAAAATTGCCAATAAAGCGGTTGAAATGTAAAAAGTGTACGCTCGAGGTACGACGTTTATTAACCAACCGAAGAGAGCTAATTAATTCAAAATATAATTAAATAATATTTGTCAAAAAATACATTTATCAAATATGTAAATAAATATGTCTGAAATGTCAAATTTGGCACAATATCATCAAGGAAGACTATATGAACTGAATGAATAAGATTCAAGTTTTTTCAATTTTGAATATTATCTTTAAAAAGTAAGCTAACTGTCAAAAATAACTTTCCATGAGCTTATTCGTATTTAACACTTACATTTGAATATGTATTGTGACATTTAATCTTGACAGATGACATTGAAATGTCAAATTTGACACAATAACATCAATATGAACTGAATGAATTTTGACAATTAACTTTAAAAAGTAACCTAATTATCAAAAATAACATTCCATGAGCTTATTCGTATTTAACACTTGCGTTTGAATATGTAATGTGCCATTTAGTCTTGACAGATGACATTGAAACGTCAAATTTGATACAGTAACATCAAATTTAATAAGACTATATAAAAAGAATGAATTTTGACAATTAACTTTAAAAACTAACCTGATTGTCAAAAATAACTTTCCATGAGCTTATTCGTAGTTAACACATTTGAATCTGTATTGTGACATTTAGTCTTAACAGATGACATTGAAACGTCAAATTTGATACAATAACGTCAAGTAAGACTATATGAACTGAATGAATAAGATTTCAAGTTCTTTTCAATTTTGACAATTAACTTTAAAACGTAACCTAATTGTCAAAAATTACTTTCCATGAGCTCATTCGAATTTAACACTTACATTTGGATATGTAATATGACATTTAATCTTGACAGATAACATTGAAACGTCAAATTTGACACAATAACATCAATTGAACTGAATGAATTTTGACAGTTAACTTTAAAAACTATCCTAATTGTCAAAAATAACTTTCCATGAGCTTATTCGTATTTAACACTTACATTTTAATAAGAAATGTGACATTTAATCTTGACATATGACATTGAAACGTCTAATTTGATACAATAACATCAAATAAGACTATATGAACCGACTGTATTTTGACAATTAACTTTAAAAACTAACCTAATTGTCAAAAATAACTTTCCATGAGCTCATTCGTATTTAACACTTACGTTTGAATATGAAATGTGACATTTAATGTTGACAGATGACATTGAAACGTCAAATTAGACACAATAACATCAAGCAAGACTATATGAACGAAATAAATAAGATTCAAGGTATTTTCAATTTTGACAATTAACTTTAAAAACTAACGTAATTGTCAAAAATAGCATTCCATGAGCTCATTCGTATTTAACACTTACATTTAGATAATATAACGACATTTAATCTTGACAGATGACATTGAATCGTCATATTTGACACAATAACATGACGTAAGACTATATGAACGAAATAAATAAGATTCAAGGTATTTTCAATTTTGACAATTAACTTTAAAAACTAACCTAATTGTCAAAAATAACTTTCCATGAGCTTATTCGTATTTAACACTTGCGTTTGAATATGAAATGTAACATTTAATCTTGACAGATGACATTGAAACGTCAAATTGACATAATAACATTAACCAAGACAGTGTTACCAAATGATACATTTTTAGATTAATTTTACCTGTCATTGTGATTTATATTGCATACTGTGATGGGATAAGTTATACTTAAGCTTTAATCATAATAATTATTTCAGAAACCACACAGTTAAACCTTACAAAATAAAACTTTAAATAAAATGAAAATTGTTATAAATGTAAATAATTTCCTATGGCGAGTAAACAATATCCAGTAATTTAAACGCAATAACTTTATTTATTTATTTCATTTTGAGATTATGTCAAGTTTGTTATGTCAATCTTCATCTAACACTTGTCAATATAACCTGATATTAGATACAAATCTCCTAACACAAACTTCACACCAATTTTTGACAGATAAGATCTTTCCCTAATATTAATTTATTTAAAGTTAATGCAAATTTCATTTAATGTTTAATTTTGTTGCAAAAATAGTTTACGCCAAAAATAGTTTAAAATGTTTCTTCTAGTATCTTTTTCAAAACAATAATTTATTAAAAACCCAACCAATGTCAAGCTGTTAAGTAAAAAAGTTTAAAAGCTCAACAATTAATGTTAATTTGACCATTAAATTGGTAATTTATAGATAAAAACTTAAAAATTGTCTGGGAGATAAGAAAGTTTAAAAATTTTCAAATAATTTAAGTTCATTGATAAAGAGTGTATTGAGGCAATTTAATTAATTAAACCTTTGAGATAAACAAATAGAGCACAAATATATCTTTACCTGATAGAAAAGTCATTAATGCAAGTGCAAAAATAGCTCCAGCAAAAACAGTTAATCTAGGATGTCTCATAGCCATAATAGCAGCTATAAAGAAAGTTTTATCTCCAATTTCGGATACTAAAATAACTGATATTGATGCTATAAAACCATGAACGAATCCGGTATTTTCAGCAGGAGTATTTGTCCCTGTGGCAGTTTCCTAAACAAAATATCCAACGTTCGATTCGTTTACGACAAATCTTTTAACTACCTTACAAGAGACGGACCAGGAGGAGCCGCATTTTCTTCTTCCATCGGTTCAATTTCCGCGTAAACTGTGTTAATGGCAAGAATAGTCAATAAACATGCCTGTAACGGCCACTTTAACAAATCCACGTATTTATTCATGTTTTTTTTTTTACACTTAACTTTTTAATTGAAATTTAATAATTTAAACTTAACTTAATAAGACTCACTCATCACTATTTCATTTAAAGTTAAAAATCACCGGTAAAACTAATTACAACTTAGAAAAAGGAACGATATTGATACGTTTGAGTGGTTTTGAGCGAATTGAGGTTAGAAGCTACGCTCACCGATAACTGAACGATTTTTTTTTAAGTTCGCGCCGTATTCTTCCACGTTAAAATCATCGGTAGGGGTAAATTTGATTATGATAATACGAATAATTTAAAGATTACATTTACATTCGTTTTTTCAGGGATTTTTATCTATATAAAACTTGACAACGTCAATGAAACGTCAACTAGAAACGTCAAAAATATCCATAGAATAGGTTATGTTGAAATTACTAAATTAAACGAGTTTTGGATTAAGTAATTAAAAATTTGATTTTTATTGAGAATAAGATGCTTCTGTGTTAAAAATCGTTTAAAATTGATAAAAATTACATTAAACGTTTTTAATGTTTTCGAAATTTTGATTTTGTTGTTAGTGGTGGGGGGAATTGATTAAAATGGTGTCGATGAAATTTATTGTCTATGCGATGATTTGACAAGAAGATGACAAGAAGCATGTGGTGTCCTTAATAAGATTATTGCGAATCTCGATTAATTAAAAGAAAGTTAATGATGGCTGATTTCGAACCGTTAGATCCGTCCTTAAAGAACGTAATCGATCAGACAACATTGAAATGGATATTTGTAGGTGGAAAAGGCGGTGTTGGTAAAACAACTTGTAGGTTAGTTTTATTTTAATTGTCAAAACGATTTTTGTGTTATTTTAATTTTTGTGTATACACACAGTTGTAGTCTTGCCGTCCAATTAGCTAAAGTACGCGAAACGGTGCTCATAATTTCAACAGATCCAGCTCATAACATTTCTGATGCTTTTGACCAAAAGTTTACCAAAATTCCAACTTTAGTTAAAGGTTTTGAGAATTTATACGCCATGGAAATTGATCCTAACGTTGGTTTTAATGAATTACCCGAAGAATATTTTGAAGGTGATCAAGATGCAATGAGAATGAGCACTGGAATTGTACAGGAAATAATTGGGGCTTTTCCTGGAATTGATGAAGCTATGAGTTATGCGGAAGTAATGAAATTAGTAAAAAGTATGAATTTTTCGGTTGTGGTGTTTGATACGGCCCCAACCGGTCATACTTTAAGATTACTTTCGTTTCCGCAAGTCGTCGAAAAAGGCCTAGGGAAATTGTTGCGTTTAAAACTAAAAATTTCCCCATTAATTTCCCAATTATCTGCCTTATTAGGTGCCAGTGATTTTAACACCGATACATTTTCAACGAAATTAGAAGAAATGTTAACGGTGATACGTCAAGTTAATGAGCAATTTAAAAATCCAGATCAAACAACTTTCGTTTGCGTTTGTATCGCCGAATTTTTGAGTCTGTATGAAACTGAGAGATTAGTTCAAGAATTAACTAAATATAAAATAGACACCCATAATATAATTGTAAATCAATTGCTTTTCGCTGGAAATAAAGAATGCAAAATGTGTTGCGCGCGAATGAAGATTCAGGATAAATATTTGGATCAAATTAATGATTTATATGAAGATTTTCATGTAACTAAATTGCCGTTGCTTGAGAAGGAAGTTCGAGGTGGTGATAGTGTTAAATCGTTTTCTGAGTATTTAGTTAATCCTTTTAAACCAACATGATAAAACAAGTTGGGTAAATAATGCTAAATTTGTGTGTATATAAAAAAAGTTGTTTAAATTCCTTATATAGCTTTGAAAAAAATTTTTTTTAGTACTTATCGGTGCATATATTCGCGCAGGTGTGATCGATAGGTGATATTAATTTGTGGTTATTGTACATTTTTTGTAATGTTCCACGTTTGATGGTGTATGCAAATAGTTATTAAAAATCTTAACTTTCCCCCTAATTTTTTTAATCACGATTTTGAATCTGTGAAATATTTAAATGAAAAACCTACTTTTATATAATCTTTATTAGCATTAATTAAAAAAATAAGCAATAAATCATTATTGAGTAGCATTGAGTTTTCATATTGTCGAACGAATTTATTAATTATTAACTATCTTGGAGATTTATGTGTTCGAGAAATGCATCAACATTACTCTCATTCATTAAAACTTGATATTTCATTTTTTGTTTAGGAATTAAACACCTTTTCCACCAATTTTTGTCAGCGATTATAACCTAAAAAATTAAGTTAATGAAAAATTTTACCCATAGACAATACAGGTGTTTTAAAACAATGTTTAAATGTCAAAAAGTTAATAAACGTGTTCGCAAATCAACAGTTTTTGAGATACAGGATGTTCAATTTTTTGGCACTTTACGTTTTTTCTTTTAAACTATAACTACCAGATTGGATACTTGGCAAATCTAAAAAAAAGTATGAAACTGTCTCTTTTTGAGAGTAGTATGATGTATCTATTGCTTCGGTTGGACCGGAAGTGAAAATAAATATCACTATTTTTCAGAAAATTCAAAAATTCTATTTAACAATTAGTTAGATATAGTGGTGGAACGGATATCCGGTATCTGGCCATTTTTTTAAATCCGGCCGGATAGTTACCAAATATCCTATTACTTAGTACTCCACCATTCACAGGAATTAGTATCTCTTTTAGGTGTTGAACACAGTAGATAATAATCAAGTTCAACCCCAATAGGACTTTTTTCATTGAATACAACTTTATTTATGATTAGCAACCTCATTGTAACAATCCCAATACGATATATAAAATCTGTTGTTGCAGTTTCGTCTAGTTTTCTTCTCTTCGCATATAATTCATCATCACATTCATTACTAACAGAACTGTCGCTGTTATCACTTTCGATTATTAATTAAAGTATCCTCTTTTNAACTTATATCTTCCCGTTTAAGTTGTTTAGTATTTGACCAAAACTTTTATATTTTAAAAGTGAGATACAATCAGTTTAAATATGCGGTCAATTACTGGTTCCTCTTTTGGTCATTTATAGGACACAAACACTCAAAACTGAGTTTTTTAACCGATTTTAAATTTTATAAATATTTAAGCGTAATATAAATATAAGTGTAAATGTTTGATTCTTTTCTATTTTTTTAAACCTTTTTTATAACAATAAAAGTAATTGACCGCACTTAAGCAGTAATGAGTCTGTAAAATTAAAAGGATAGAAGGTTGGTCAAACGCTGACTCTTATAGTTTTCAATTATCAAACAATGGAAAATTTAGCAAATATGAATCAGGTTAACATTTTTTCAGTACCAATATGACAACGAAGATTAAGTTTAAAAATAGTGAAGAGGATCTTCAAAAGACTCGATGTAAGAAGTAGGGGTTTATCTTATTTATAACAAAATGGAAAATCACCAGTGCACAGGAAAATGGGCCCACCAGCATTTTTAAATTCTGCAGATATGTTCTTAGAGTCAAAAAATATAAACATTTTTTTGTGAACAAAATAGTATGGAAAAATAATAAAAATGAATATTATATTAAGAATCGGTCAAACATTGACAGTTTTAAGGTCAAAGACTAGGTATTATTGGTAAAGTAATGTAATCAAAGTGGTCAAACACTAAATGCGAAATACTATTTTCCTTTTTAATTTTTAAAAAATATTAAGTACTTCATGATGTTATATTTTATATGTAGGGTAAATAAATTTAAATGAATCAGATGTGTATTTGATCATATTTTGATCATTTTATGTAAAGGCAGAGGGATCTACAAGAAAAATAATGGCTCGATCAAACACTGACATTAAAAAATCCTTAACAGGTCAAACACTGGTGCGTTTACCCTAGTGGTGGAACGGATATACGGTATCCGGCCATTTTTTAAAATCCGGCCGGATAGCGGATAGTTACCAAATATCCTATTACTTAGTACTCCACCATTCACAGGAATTAGTATCTCTTTTAGGTGTTGAACACTGTAGATAATAATCAAGTTCAACCCCAATAGGACTTTTTTCATTGAGTACAACTTTATTTATGATTAGCAACCCCATTATAACAATCCCAATACGATATATAAAATCTCTTGTTGCAGTTTCGTCTAGTTTTCTTCTCTTCGCATATAATTCATCATCACATTCATTACTAACAGAACTGTCGCTGTTATCACTTTCGATTATTAATTAAAGTATCCTCTTTTTAATGCAAAAAGCCGTTTTGAAAAATCACTTTCAGTTCTTGAGAAATAAATTTTTGAAATGATCGACAATTTTTTCGAATTTTGCAATTTTCGCCGATTAAGTTTTAAAAATTCGTATAAAATCCATTTCTTGGAATATGAGTATGAAAATTTCCCAAAGTGTTAATAAAAGTGTCCTCTTTCCAATGAACCAACCCGTTTTGAAAAATAACTTTTAGTTTTTGAGAAAACAATATTTGAAGTTTTGATAAAATTTTCGATGTTGCAATTTTCATCGATAATTTTCAAAATTCGCTATAAAATTAATTTCTTGAAGGATCCTTGTGGAAATATCACCAATTATTAATTAAAGTATCCTCTTTTTAATGCAAAAAGCCGTTTTGAAAAATCACTTTTAGTTCTTGAGAAATAAATTTTTGAAATGATCGACAATTTTTTCGAATTTTGCAATTTTCGCCGATTAAGTTTTAAAAATTCGTATAAAATCCATTTCTTGGAATATGAGTATGAAAATTTCCCAAAGTGTTAATAAAAGTGTTCTCTTTCCAATGAACTAACCCGTATTGAAAAATAACTTTTAGTTTTTGCGAAAACAATATTTGAAGTTTTGATAACATTTTCGATATTGTAATTTTCATCGATAATTTTCAAAATTCGCTATAAAATTAATTTCTTGAAGGATCCTTGTGGAGAAGTGGTTTTTCAACTTCGCGATGGAGGAGCGGTTCGACAGAAATTGATATATCAGGTTTAGAAGGTAGTATGGCGTATTTAGCCTATCCAGTTTAAATAGCAATCCTTTGTGCCACACTGAGTCGAAAGCCTTTCGGACGTCCAAAAACACGGCTGCGGATTTCAGTTTTTCAAAACGTACCGCCTGGAAGTTGGAAACCAGAATAGTTAGTGGCTGGGACGTTGATTTTCCGGATCGGAATCCAAATTGGTAAGGCGGAATTTTCTTTGATATAGCAGCCAGAAGCTTGTTCTTCAAGTGTGCCTCGAAGAGTTTTCCAATTATGGGAAGCAGTGGGATGGGGTGGTAGTTTGCTGGATCAGAAAGAGAGGAATCCTTCTTGAGAATATAAGTAATAATTGACGTCTTCCATTCGCATGGAAAATGTGTTAATAATTTCTTCAATTTCTCAAAGTGTTAATAAAAGGGTCCTCTTTCCAATGAACCAACCCGTTTTGAAAAATAAATTTTAGTTTTTGAGAAACCAATATTTGAAGTTTTGATAAAATTTTCGATGTTGCAATTTTCATTGATAATCATTCACGAGCACACCCTGTATAATCTGAACGCGTGAAAATAAATCCATAATATTTGAGGAGCATAAAGGTGTACTATAGACGAGTTTATTCAACGAGTTTCGAGTTTTTCTGTTGCGGCATTGTTGACTGAGCCACGTTTCCAGTAGTAGACAATACAGTAGTTGCTGCTAAGCTATGGCGCGGTGATGACGCAGGAGAGCCAATTCGTTCATCTACTTTAGTGTGAGGGACCATGTGAGGGGGTGTTATCGTACTCTGTGCGCGGCCCGTTGTGCTTCCCTACTCGTCGCGTACACTAAACTTTTTAAGTAGCCCCACAAACCAAACTCTAGCAGGTTCAAATCCGGCAAACGTGCAGGCCATGCAATGGGACCCCCTCGCGCTATCCATCATCAAGTAAATCTTTCATTCAAATGTTCTCTAACAATACGCATAAAGTGCGGAGGAGCTCCATCCTGCACAAACCAGAGATTTAGTGTTTGATTTAATGGCAAGTCTTCCAAAAATTGAGTGTTTTCCAAGAAATCAAAGTATGTTGCACCTTTTAATGCATCCCAGTAAACAAGAAACCTCTGTGAAACATTTCAATTTTAACGTACAGTGAATTAAATGAAACATCTTAGAACTACGTTTCATATACGTGACAGATACGATTTTTACGAAACGTATCTAAAGATATGTATCAAATACATTTCAGTAGAAATATTTATGAAATATCATTAAAATATGTAGCAGAAACATTTCATTTGAAACATNAAAAGATAAAATCGCTCCAGCTAAAGCTGTCGCGATTTTATCATGCTTTTGATTTCGAGTTATTTCCATGGTAACAAAACTTTCGTGTAAAAATAAAATTATCCGATTAAAAGTCAAGCTCTTGTGTATTTACCCCCGATTAAATTTAAAAAATTTGTATAAAATCCATTTCTTGGAATATGAGTATGAAAATTTCGCAAAGTGTTAATAAAAGTGTTCTCTTTCCAATGAACTAACCCGTTTTGAAAGATAACTTTTAGTTTTTGAGAAAACAATATTTGAAATTTTGATAAAATTTTCGATGTTGCAATTATCATCGATAATTTTCAAAATTCGCTATAAAATTCATGTCTTGAAGGATCCTTGTAGAAATATCGCCAATTATTAATTAAAGTACCCTCTTTTCAGAGTTACTTCCTGAGTTAAATTAGCATCAAAAAAGCTCATTTTTGTTGACATATCTTATCAGCTTTCTTAATAATTTCATTTTTATTCAAATATCGCAATAATGTGGCAATGCAGGGTATCACTTCAGAAATGCACCAGAACTTATTACCATAACGACCGGAGAGATATGCCGGATATCCGGCCGAAAAGGATGCCGAATATCCGGCTTTTCGCAATATCACTATCCGTTCCATCACTAGTTAGATAGTTTAATTCTAAACAACGTTAATTCGAAAAAAAATAGTATTGCTTAAAGTTTCCGAGAAAAAACACGTTTTTTAAAGTAAATTACACTGTTGGAAATCATTCACGAGCACACCTGCATAATCTGAACGCGTGAAGATAAATCCATAATATTCGCAGAGCATAAAGGTTTACTATAAACGAGTTTATTCAACCAGTTCCGAGTTTTTCTGTCGCGGCATTGTTGACTGAGCCATCTTTCCAATAGTAGACAATACAGTAGTTATATAAGGAAATTTTCTTCGGTTTTATCACCCAAATTGTAAATGGTAGAAATTAATGAAATCGTCTTTACGGTGATATAAATTTATTCGCTCAACCGTGACAGAAGTGTCACATGACATGTGACACTTCACCTTGTACATGCTTACTTTTATAATTTACCGGTCACAAGTTGTTTTTCATTTTTCAATTTTTCATTGGTTTGTTGATTGGTTTAACAACATACTTGTGTGATTATACGTGAATAATTGATCGTTTACAGCTGGTGTTGTAATGATACCAACATTCTTAATCTGTTTTAAAACACCATGCCCGACGAACTCCTGATGATGATATTGTAAAATATCGAAACCGATTGAGCGAATAAATTTATATCACCGTAAAGTACGATTTCATTAATTTCTACCAAATACAATAGTTGTTGCTAAGCTATGACGCGGTGATGACGAAGGAGACCCAATTCGTTCATCTACCTTAGTGTGAGGGACCAGTTTGTTATCGTACTCTGTGCGCAATGGAAGGACAATCGCGTTACTATTACTACGTAGATGAGGTGCTACAGCCCGTTGTGCTTCCCTACTCGTCGCGTACACTAAACTTTTTAAGTAGCTCCACAAACCAAAGTCTAGCAGGTTCAAATTTGGCGAACGTGCAGGCCATGCAATGGGACCCCCCTCGCGCTATCCATCATCCAGTAAATCTTTCATTCAAATGTTCTCTAACAGTACGCATAAAGTGCGGACTAGCTTCATGCTGCATAAACCAGAGATTTAGTCTTTGATTTAATGGCAAGTCTTCCAAAAATTGAGTGTTTTCCAAGAAATCAAAGTATGTTGCACCTTTTAATGCATGCTTGTGGTGAAACTATCTGTCACAATAGCCTATCCCCTACGACGCCTAACCAGATATTTAAACTAAAACGCTGTTAATGTCGGGTTTCAACAACGACTCGAGGATTCTCGTCAGACCACACATGATATTGATATATTGTGTAAATTGAATATTCCATTTCTGGTAAAACCAGCTTCATCGGTAAAAAGAATCCTCGGCGTTCAGCAGGCTCTCGTAAAATCCATTGACAGAATGTCAACCATGCGTGGTAATCCGGAGGATTGAGGGCTTGGACACGTTAGATATGGTTAGGGTAAATAAGTTGTTCACGGAGAGTTGTCCAAACAACATATCCACTTGAGCCGAAATTCTTCTCACACTTGCTTCGCGATTTTCAGCAACTGTATTTAAAATTTGTTCTTCTATTTCCGGTGTACATACGGATCTCTGCCGTCCGGTATTACAAGATCTTTATCAAACGATCCAGTTTCGTTTAGACGGTGAAAATAGTCTAAAAAAAGTGATTCCAACTTCCTCTCAAAGCCGTACATAATATTTTCCATTGGCACGGCCGTACATAAACCATATCGGTTATTTCAGCATTTGAATACAAGACCATTGCAATCGATTTCACTTCAGGTTTCGCAAAGTCAAATTACTGGAGTTTGGTTATTTCGTAATTTGAACGAAACATCAAATTAATGTATCTTAGCAGATTGTACGTAAGTCGAAGGGTACTCCTTGTAATGGAAAAATTTTGTTAACTAATGGATTATTAATTATGTCGTACACTCTGCATAACGTATTGAAATGGAATAACTTATACCAAATGGAAGGAATGGAAAGTTTCCATTTTTTCCGTCGGAAACATCATACTGTCAAAAAGAGACAGTTTCATGCTGTATCGATTTGATTAAAGTATCAAATCTGTAGTAGTTATAGTTTAAAAGAAAAAATGTAGTGTCCCAAAAAATTTGAACATCATGTTCATTAACACTTTTCAACTGTAGTATTACCCCTATTAATATTTAAACGTTGTTTTAAAACACCCTGTAAAAATATCTTACCTCAATTAACCACGCAATAAAAAAATGTGCTAGAGGAAACATTAATAAACTATACCTAAACATCGCTTCCCCCTTATCTTTACTCATTGGTAAAATCTCGAAAAAGTTTGCAATCCACTCAGCTGGACAAACGCAAAAATAAACGATTGAAGCAGAAACAATTAACGCGGCTAACAGTAAAAAGATATTAGAAAAAAACATTCCTTGTCGGTACGGTTTTCCTTTTGAATACAAAAGTGCTAAAATTCCATATTGAAACGATGAAACCAAAAATAAAACCGTGTTTTCCCAACATAGAATCGTTTCGGTGTTCGCCGGGGGGTTGTGTTCAAACCACGGTTGTTGGTCGAGATATTTCAATGCTAAATATTGGACGGTTGCGCAAAGTAAGATTTGTAAAATCATTGGAGCGACGTTTTCAACGCTCACGAGGGATCCTAATGGGCGTTTTGGAACGAGTTTTTTCGATGGACCTTGTAAACCAATCGTTAAAGCGAAACTCATCGTTATTAAAAGATCGATATAAAGAAATTGTGAATCTCCAAGTATTGAAAATCTCTAAAATAATTAATTTCAATTAAAATTTAATGAGATTGAAATTTTTACCGTGTAAAGTAATAAAACTGTAAAAAATTGGATGAGGCTGTAAAGCGCCATGTATTTAACTTCAGCAAAAGTTGTAACTAAAGCACAACGCCCCTCCAGCATTAAATGAATAACGCAGGAAATGTTTGCTATTTTTGACGTAAACGGAGCGGCTACGCTTGCTTCTGTTTGTGAGAGAGATATTCCAACGTGAGCTGCTTTTAAAGCCTAAAATAAATTAATTCAAAGAAAATTTAATAACAAATAAGGATTTTTACTTACACCACAATCATTAGCACCATCTCCAACCATACACACAACATAATCAAGTTTTTGCAAGTTAGTAACAACTTGGGTTTTTTGATCAGGTTGGAAACGTGCGAATACGGTTGTTCGTACCATTAACATCGGGATAAGATCTGAGAAATGTTCGCAAATTTGTAACCAAGTTTTTCCATCGATTGCAAAATGATAATGCTAAAAAATTAATGATATTAATTAATTAATCATAACACAGGGGAACAAAAAAATTCTTTTTCTGTGGTAATGGAGTCAATTTAGATACATATAATTATGAACAGACTCAGCCTATACAGGGTGATTCATTAGCTCTATGACAAACTTTGGCAGATGAAAGGTGATGCGATTCTAAGGAAAAAATGTTATATGAATATGGGTCCGATTCATTTTGGTTAAAGAGTTACAAGCCTTTGAAAATTTTACACAGTTTAATAGGCAAATGAAAATGTAACATAAAAAATAAGTTTAAAAATTACAAAAATTGTTCGAAATGTCCGCCTTCAGCTTGAATGCACGCTTCACATCGGCGAAGTAAAGATTTGCAACAATCGCAACAATAATTATGAAACACAAATATAGAGTTGGCTGTGATAACAAAACTGAGTTCTTTATGTCAAACATTTCAATTTACTCTATTCTGTGTGTTTCAAAGTTTATAATTGTCAGAGTTTTGATCGAAAACGAAAATGCATGTATTTACGACTGAAGAATATGCAGATATTATTTTTGTATACGGGCTTTGTAACGGAAACGCTCGGCTAGCAGCAAGAGAATACCTTCGTAGGTTTCCAAATAGACATCAACCTGCCCGTACAGTGTTTAGTGCATCATTTCGCAGACTGAGAGAAACAGGTAACCCCGCTCCACTACATTCCGTTCGTCCCCATGATGTGAATGTACAAAATGAAGAACGTGTTATTGATTTAGTACTTGACGACCCTTCAATTAGTACTCGGCGTATAGCGCGAGCATGTTACAAATATTCCAAAGTTTTGTATGGCGTGTATTGAATCGAGAAATGTTACATCCGTTTCATCGCCAAAATGTTCAAGCATTACATCCTGGAGATACTGAGCAACGCTTAGCATTTTGCCACTGGATTATTCAGCAACATGCTCAAAATAATAATTTCATTTCCCAAGTTCTGTGGTCTGATGAAGCGTGTTTCACTAGGGACGGCATAAATAATTATCATAACGAACATGTGTGGTCCTTGCAAAATCCACATGCAATTAGACCAGGAAGATTTCAGCAACGGTTTAGTGTAAACTTTTGGGGTGGCATTTTTAACAATTCTTTGCTACCTGTATGGGTGATAAATGAACGCTTAAATGCAAATATGTACAGAAATTTCTTGGGACATAACCTTTTCGATTTTATCGACGACGTACCACTTAACATCGTTTAAAATATGTGGTATCAGCACGATGGTGCACCACCACATCGAGGAAGAGAAGTCATCGCTTGGTTACATGAACATTTTCCAAACAAATGGATTGGCAATGGAGGTCCAGTAGTCTGCCCACCACGATCCCCAGATCTAAATCCGCTGGATTATTATTTCTGGGGACACATGAAGCAGCTTGTGTACCATGTAGAAATTACTACCCGTCAGCAACTACTGGACAGAATTCAAGATGCAGCTTGTAACTCTTTAACCAAAGTGAATCGGACCCATATTCATATAACATTTTTTCCTTACAATCGCATCACCTTTCATCTGCCAAAGTTTGTCATAGAGTTAATGAATCACCCTGTATATAAAACTTGGGCTAATAAAACAATTTGTTAAAGCTTTAAGTAGGAATAGCGATTGCTTCAAATATCTTTGTCATATATTTCCTGGTGTCAGTATAGTATGATTTCACAAACCACTTAGGTTGACTTAGAAGGAAAAAATTTCTTGGGGAATCATATAGCTGAAGAATATTCCGAAGTAGTAGACAAAATCCACCAGAATTACCAAAAATTAGATCATGCTGAACGTACTGCCCTTAGACATTGTGATGATAATGATATTTGTTTGTGTTTTTTGTTGTTGTTAAGAAACAATAAATTTTGGAAATATTACAATTTGGCTACCAACTAACTGTGGGGTAAAGCTTAAGCAAAGTTGAGGCAAATAAAGTAAAGAATATTAAAAATTAAATTAAATCGAAAAATTAACAAACATGTCTGAAAAACAAGGAAGAGAAAATAACGAAGAAAGAGAAGCCAGTATAAGTCAAACTAGAAGTAGAGTTATAGCAAAAAAGTTTAGTGGAGCAAACGGAAATAAATTACATCCCATGACTTATCTTAACAAGTTTGTTCAACTAACACAGGAATTGGATGATGAAAGAGCGATTTTAACTTCGATAAGGTTGACTTTGGAAGAACGAGCACAACTTTAGAAGATTTTAAGAAAGAATTGCGTATTTCATTTGATTGGAAATTGTAAAATCTAGCTGCCTATATTGATGTTTGTATATTGATATTGGCAAGAGTTGGCGTTAATAGTTTAGTTTGAGTAGCTTCCAACGCGAGCGGATCTCTCCGAATTGTATATTTTTTATAAAGTGGTTTTTATAAATTGGAGGAAGAGTTTACGATGATCCCGCTTGTGAAGGAATTCTCCCCCATGTGAAGCTACATACATACATACATATCAAAAATTAGGAGCTGATATGAGTGTCAAATAGCATAAAACATAGCAGAAAAACAACGGGAACGATTCCACCAGGACATCAAGGTTATGGAAGAAATATATCAAGGCCGTTGGAATCGCCATATGATGGCAAACTACTGCTGGAAGTTACAAGGAAACTGTCCGGATCAAAAACACCATAGAAAATCCCATACAAAAGGTTGTTCTTAACTCTTATTGATATGTTTTTATTTTTTATGATTAATTTTATTATTTTTTGTATCATTTCCACTATAAATGGATTGCCTTTATCTTAAAAAGTAGAGTCAATTCAACAAAAATATTATTATTATCGTATTCATGAGACCAAAATGACCTAAAATTGACTAATAAACTCCATACCACAAAATTAGTGTGATAATCATAGATAAATTTTTTACGTTAAATACTGTGACATGATCGACTTCTAAATCTTGCAAATTAATTAATTCGTATTTTAATTTAGGTCCAATATCGGATTGATCCACTTTTAAAGCAACGACCTTATCGAAAACTCCAATCATCCCGCATTGTCTAGCAACGGAAGTAGCCGTTTCAATGTTATCTCCTGTTATCATAACAGTTCGAACGTTAGCGTTCAATAACTTCGCAATAACCGGTTTCGTTTCAATTTTCAAAGTGTTCTGCATCACAATAAAGCCGACAAAAATCAAATCTTTCTCTATCTAAAACAAATTAATCGAATTAACTTTAAATGATTTTATGTAACAACAGACTTCTTCTCGTTTAATTTTTTGCGTGTCTTTCCATTTCATCGAAACCGAAAGTTTTTTATAACCAACGGAAATTACTCGATATCCGGACGCTGTGAATTGAGATAATTGTATGGAATAATCGTTTGGGAGGCTTTCTTGTAGCGAAATTGAGCCGATTTTTTCTGGCGCTCCTTTTGTAAAAACTGTCATTTCATTTTCGGTTAAATTTTTACAAATAACCGACATACATTGTAACGTTGATGAAAACGGAAATTGGCGAATAATTCCAATTTCATATGTAGGCTTAAAAATTAAAATCTCAATAATTTCTTTTTAATTATTATTTTACTTACCACATCGCCTCGGGCATTAATTTCAATTGATCGCCTTGGTCTTACAATCGTTGGGACAAGAACATCATAACGAGTGCTTTCAGATTCGCCGGTTTCTTCTAATTCCCATCCTGTGCTATTAAACATATTTAAATCTAATGGATCGCCTGTAATCTCGTCGTTAATCCGTGTTAAAGAGTGACAAGTTGCCATTCCTTGTAATAAAGGACTTTTTAAGTCCAAAAGTAACGGATTTGGAATCGGATTTAAAAACGTTGCATTGTCTGAAGGAACGATTGAGCTTAAATCTAAACCATCGTTTGTTAAAGTTCCCGTCTAAAATGATTTTTTATTAATAAAACAAAGTTACTTATAAAAAAAAAGTTACTTTGTCAAAACAAATCAATTTAATTCTTCCACTAATGTTAATTCGAGCTGGGCTAATACAAAAAATTCCAATTTTTTTCAGCCGATTTTGACTATAAACAGTCGCAACAGTCATTGCTGCGGGTAAAGCTGGAGGAACTACGATTGTAACAATATCCAAAACACGTAAAATAATATCTTGTACTTCCGCCTCTCTACTTATATATAAATAGAGGCAATAACACATTCCTGAGCCGGCAATTAAAAATAAAAACAGCACGAATTTCATCGCATCTTTATAAAATTCCAAACCAATCGGAGTTGGGAACATAATACTTTTTACAAGGGCCCCTTTGGTTGTATCAAACCCAGTCTTTATAACCCTAGCCAAAACATATTTGTCATCGTAATAACGAGACTGAATAATATGTGTCCCACTGTATAAAGTGTTGCGTTTATGAGAATCTGGGTTGTAAATTTCATCGCTTTCGTGAGGGGGAGTTTTTGTAACCGGAATACTTTCACCTAAAGTTTAATTCAAAATTAGTTCCTAAATAAAATTAATTAAATTTATTTACCCGTTAACATGCTTTCATTTACTATACAATTTCCTGCTATTAAAACAGCATCACATGGCATAACACATCCATTTCTAGGAATAACCAATAAATCATTTGGTACTAATTGAGATGCTTCTATTGTAATTAAAGCATTCGAGGAGGTAGTATCAGAATTCCGTTGTAAAATTTGTACTTGAGTACATGTTGAAGATGCAACTAAATCGTGTAAAGCAACACTTTGCTGAAAAAAAAAATAAATACATAAATAAGATTAATACCATTTATCCATTTATACTGGAAATTAAATTTTAAAAAGAGGAGAATATTTTTAAAACGTTTATTTTATAATCAAATGATTGCAAATAAAGAAAGTTTTATAAATTATGCAAAAAATAATAAAATTAATCATACATTTGTGGGGTATCTCCTTTAACTAACATGCTATTCGCCAATCTACACCTTTCCTCAAATTTGTTTTTACACTTAAATAGAACATGTTCTATGCATGTTCTATTTAAGTGTAAAAACAAATTAGACCGATTTCATCACCACACATACACAACGGAGATTCAAATTTTCGAATATTTGATCGTTTACAGCTGGTGTTGTAATGATACCAACATTCTTAATCTGTTTTAAAACACCATGCCCGACGAATTCCGGATGACGGAGATTCAAATTTTCGGATTCTATTTAAATACTCCTCAAAATTGCCATGACCAGTAATTAACTCTACAGTTTCGGGTTTTAAAAATCTACCAACTCTTGGTGTAAACTGATAAGTCAATCTCCCAGTCACTGAGTTATCCCATCCATCTTGCCATTTTTCAACATTAATTCCTAATCCTATTTTTCACTGATCTCCAGGGCACGGAACTTTTGTAACAAAACGGTACCATTTCCCCCCTTCACTCGTTCTCAGAAAATCTTGATTAAAAGAACAGCATACTGTTCAGTGGGAAATTAAAATTTCAAGTTAGAAAAAAATTGTGTTAACAAAAATTGTTTCTGAAACAATTCTAAACAAACTTTGTCAACATTTTTTTTTGATTTAATCAATAATTAAGGAGATAACCTCAAAATAATAATTTTTCCGTTTTTATACATAATTATACTTAGATGCTTAATTAATAGAGATGTAAAAATTTTTTATTAAGATAATTGATTCAAAATCGAAATTGAAACAAATTTTATTTAAAACATTTTTTAATAAAAACAATAATTGTTGAGATAATTAATTTTGATAGCATACTATTCAGAGGGAAATTAAAATTTCAAGTTAGCAAAAAATTGTATTAACAAACACTGTTCCTGAAGTAATTCTAAACAAATATTGTTAATAAAAATTTTTGATTTGATCAATAATTAAGAACATAATCTCAAAAAAAATTTTATATATATATTTTTATTGAGAAAATCGTTTTAAAATTTAATTTAGAACAACTTTTGTATGAAATTTTTTGCTGAGAACGAGTGGAGGGGGGAAATCGTATCGTTTTGTTACAAAACTTCCGTGCCCTACTGATCTCTTAGAAATCACATTTAAATCAATTTGTAAATCTTCGCAGATCGAAGCTTCTTTAGCCAATTGATCCGCTTTTTCATTACCCTTGATTCCAGAGTAACCCTTAATTCAAAAGAAATCTATATTGCTACCTGATTGTTTAATCAAATTCCAAGTATCCTTTTGCAAAATAGATGGTTTCCTCATGTTCTTTAGGCCTTTTAAAACTGAAATACCATCACTATATAATTCACACTTACCTAACTTTTCTTTAATAACATATTTAATCGCACTATTCACTGCCAATAATTCTGCATGGTAATTATCACATAACGCACCTAATTTAATTTTTTCGAAATAAATTTCAACGTCATCACAAAAAACAACAAAAGCAGCACAACACTATCTCTATTCTTTGCTCCGTCTGTAAAAATTTGAAATCCTTTATACAACACAGTTTTCTTTGTATTAAAATCCAAAATATAGATGTATCTCCGTAACGAATTTAGCCTCTTTCTCTATTTTGTCCTGGTTAAGATCTACTCTAGTAAATTATACAAATTTTGCCAAATTGCAATTTCTTTAAATCTTAAATCTGCTGGTAAAAGCCCTGATAAAACACCAAAAGCATCATTAGATACAGTACTAAATGCCCTAGCAGCTGTTAAACCTAACACTCTCTGTACACTAATAAATTTATTCCTACTTTTAATATCTTTAATTTTGTTTTCCCAAATCGACGCAGCAGACGCTGCTTTGCCAAAGTACTAAAAAATCTTTGCTTTTTATTCAATTATTACTGTTATTTACCTATAAATTGTTAAGTTGTTCTACTTTTTTCCAACTCAACTTCTGTCATTCTGTTTAATTTCTATAAAAATAAAACTATCTTTGTCAAATTTCGGCTACACAATTACTACATAATACACATTGCCATAGTAATCATACAGGGTGTCTCAGCGAGACAGGTCATTAGACGTTTCTGTGGTTCTGGCCAAAATAAAAAATTGAGAATTCAGACTTAAGTATTATTAATTACGTTCTCTTCGTCTAAAATATTTTCAGATTTCTAGCACTTCCGGTTACCGGAAGTCGCCACCTACTTTATTTTTTTAAATGGAACACCCTGTATATTTTTACATATTTGGATTTGTCTGTTTTGAAGGTTTATAAATAACTTTACTTTTTGCAATTTGATTCGGCCGTTCTCGAGTTATTCGAATTTTTCTAGAAAAATCTGCTCCAGCGGACATTTCTTCAAAAAATCATAGAACACTCGATTTTTGAGATATCAATTTAGGATTCAGAACATGCTTANAGCTTCTTTAGCCAATTGATCCGCTCTTTCATTACCCTTGATTCCAGAGTAACCCTTAATTCAAAAGAAATCTATATTGCTACCTGATTGTTTAATCAAATTCCAAGTATCCTTTTGCAAAATAGATGGTTTCCTCGTGTTCTTTAGGTCTTTTAATACTGAAATACTATCACTATATATTTCACATTTATCTAACTTTTCTTTAATAACATATTTAATCGCACTATTCACTGCCAATAATTCTGCATGGTAATTATCACATAACGCACCTAATTTAATTTTTTCGAAATAAATTTCAACGTCATCACAAAAAACAACACAAGCAGCACAACACTATCTCTATTCTTTGCTCCGCCTGTAAAAATTTGAAATCCTTTATACAACACAGTTTTCATTGTATTAAAATCCAAAATATCCCGCTTCGCAGGATGTATCTCTGTAAGGAATTTAGCCTCTTTCTCTATTTTGTCCTGGTTAAGATCTACTCTAGTAAATTATACAAATTTTGCCAAATTGCAATTTCTTTAAATCTTAAATCTGCTGGTAAAAGCCCTGATAAAACACCAAAAGCATCATTAGATGCAGTACTAAATGCCCTAGCAGCTTTTAAACCTAACACTCTCTGTACACTAATAAATTTATTCCTACTTTTAATATCTTTAATTTTGTTTTCCCAAATCGACGCAACAGATGCTGCTTTGCCAAAGTACTAAAAAATCTTTGCTTTTTATTCAATTATTACTGTTATTTACCTATAAATTGTTAAGTTGTTCTACTTTTTTCCAACTCAACTTCTGCCATTCTGTTTAATTTCTATAAACTATCTTTGTCAAATTTCGGGTACACAATTACTACATAATACACATTGCCATAGTAATCATATAGTAATGTCAAACCTGTGAAAAACAAATTTAAAATTTAATATAAAAAAATCTCTACTTTTTCCAATACTGTACATTTGCCCTAAACTATTGGAGGCTTAAAGTTACTTCAGCTTGGCATAAATAATAATGTTAGTAATTATGAAAACCAGAGTCAATTCAAACGAAATAATGTATAGGCTGAATACTTCATTATCTAAATTGACTCCATAAACTTATGCCACACAAAAAAAAATCTTTTTTGTTCCCCTGTGTTATAAATTTGTTAACTTACATTTCTGGTTTCAATTAATCCTGCAACGGCTGATATAACACTTAAAACTAAAATGCAAACGGCATAAATTACATAATTATCAGATGACCAAACAATTATAGAAAAAACTTGAAAGATATAATAAGGATGGAAAACTTCATCGATGAATAATCTCCAATAAGATTTGATTTCGACGTCAATTTTATTAAGACCATAAAATTTTAAACTAAAAATTTTAGAATTAAACCAAATTTATTTGCAATTTTTTATATACGTACTATTCTAATTGTTCCTTTTCACTTAATCCCGTTGAATTTTCTAAAATTTCTTGAAAAGTTATCGATGGACAAAACTCATCGATACACCCAAATCGTTGATGTTCATCCAACCAAATAAATTTAGTGTGGTGGTGAGTAAAGAACCGAATGATACGTGACGGAAAAATAGAAATATTTATGTATACCATTTGTGTTTTTATTAGTGCATATTTCCCCGAGTTATCATTTACTAAAAAAAATTATTTTAAAAAAAGTTGAAACCAAGCATACAATTTGGTATAATTCAAGAATCATCATGTCGCGTTCATCATACTTTCTCTAGTTCTTTCTAGTTCTAGGTCTAGTGTTAGTTCTAGTTTTACACTATCACAAGAACTAACGCAAGACAGAATCATTCGGGTTTAGCCGTCTTGAGAGACGTGCGACTAAATCCGAATGTTTGTATTTTTTGATCTAGTGTTAATTCTAGTATTAATACAGAGTCTATTGACACACAGTCTATCTAACGACAGGTAGCTAGTCAGTCGTTAGGCATCGAAAGCCAAAGAAAAACAAGATGTTTCATCCGAAAATATACGTTGTAATCTAGTTTAGTGAAAATAACTTTACTCTTAAGTTTTTCAGATTGATTTTATGGGTGGCTATAAAATAAACAATTTGTAGGTTAGGTGTTGATTTGGTTTAATAGAAAAATGTATGGTTAACAGAGTGCGGGAAGTTAGCCCCTCATTTTTGGAAAAATCAGATTTTCTTTGTTGTTCTGGGTTGTTCTAGTTATTGTTCTAGAAAACCAAAATTATGGGATACAGCATTACGAAGTTATAACTAAATATAGGTTTAGCTGCCAAAATGTCTAGTTGATTGCTGTGACCATAGTTTTTCTATTTTCAATTCCAAAATCCAAATATATATTTATTATACCTAAAGCAATCTGAAACAGCTATTATTTTCAGTAGAACAACTCTATTTTGGAAGTTTCAGTCAGTAATTCTTGCGTCAGCGGTTTTATATTACACAATAACAATTAAAAAACATATAACGATCTAAAATATCTCAAACTTTGCTGATTCAAATTGTTCTAGGTGTTTTACGTTTAAACTAGGGAAAAAAAGGTTTTTCTGGTTACACGGACATTAATTTTGCAAAATTATATCTTCCTAAAAATACAGCAAAATGGAGACTTAAAAAGAAAAATAATAAATCAACAAATGAATAATCCACCTATTCGATCAGAAAACAAAAATACACTATTTGTATTATACATTATGTATTAAAAACTAAATATCTCTGTGTTCCACCCACACAAAGATATATTTATACATGGTAATTCAAATTCGACCCCCACCATTGGGATCTCGGAAACCATAAGAGATACAGAAATGGTTAAATGGGGGCAAAGTTACGTATCTTAGAACACATAATTTTTCAACTAATTTTTTGGATCTAGCCGTTTTAGTTTTTAAAATATGGCCGAAAAACAAAAAATAATATACTATATATACTATAACTTCTTTATTTTTCGTTCGGCCATATTTTAAAAACTAAAACGGCTAGATCCAAAAAGTTAGTTGAAAAATGATGAGCTCCAAGATACGAAACTTTGCCCCCATTCAACCATTTCTGTATCTCTTATGGTTTCTGAGATCCCAATGGTGGGGGCCGAATTTGAACTATCCTGTATATACAGCAAAATGCAGTTATAATACATTTGTTCCCATATATTCATAAAATAAAACATTAAAATTCGGGTGAAGAATTATACAAGGTTTCCCAAAAGTAACGGATAAATTTGTTAAAACAACTAATAATAGTTTATGGAAAAATCGCTGAGACGGGTCTAAGGGTTTACATTTTTTGCAATTTTTTGGTATAGATATCAATTTTTTCCACCATTTTTAACAAGTTATAACGTTATAAAAAGTTACAAGTTATGACGTTATCGCTATTTTTTTTTAAATAGCAATCCCATTTTTATTATGGAATACGAATTAGGATTTTTTTTCTGAATTTGGTACTGCCAAAATTAATATTAGCTACATAACAACATTTTCGAGAAATATTGTCTTAAAGTTTCATGATTTCAAATTCATTGGAGGTAGAAAAATAGCAGTAGTTTCAGATATTTTATTAAGACAATGATTAATTTTTGATATCTAAAACTGTTGGTTGCCATGGTTAGCTACTGCTATTTTGAACATAAGGTTACCTAATTCCCTATGCCTCTGTAGTATCGATTATTACCCCGCAGAATACTGTGGTACAGTCTATATAAAATATTTAAACCTCGCATCATGTTGTGTTGTTCATCGAACCAGCTACGTCACTGACCCACCTTGCCCCTCAGAGGAGGAGAATCAGCATTGGGTAACCTTATCTTCTATAGACCTTGCTATTTTGCTATCTCAATTGAATAGGACGTGTTCAATAGGTTTCAGGTCAGGCCTTAACGCCGGCCATTCCATAACCTGAATTCCACGTTCTTGCAAAAAATTTCTGGTGATACCGGTGGTATGTGGCTTTGCATTGTCCTGCATTAGGATGAAATTTTCACCGAACCTATATGAAGCAGGCACCACATGGCCCTCCAAGATGTTTTCGATGTAATTCATGGCATTTAGTCTACCAGGAACAACAACAAGATCAGTTCTGTTGTCTATACTGATTCCAGCCCAAACCATAACAGATCCCCAACCAAATCTATCCACTTCCTGTATAGTAGCGACTGCGTAGCGTTCACCAGGACGACTATATACACGTCGCAACAAGTGAAACGAAATCTGGACTCGTCTGTAAACAGTACAGGTATCCAGTGACGAAGCTGCCAATCTCTGTGATCCAGAGCAAACCTCATTCGCGCTGCTTTGTGATGCTGCGTAAGGCATGGTTCGCGGACAGGTCTTCTAGGTTTCAAATTAGCTTCTTTTAATCTATTTCTAACAGCTTGATCAGAAATTTCTATTCCATGTGCTCGTCTTAGGTCGTTTAGGAGGTCTCGTGCTGTGATTTTGAGTAGTTTTTCGATTTCGACCTTGTCCAGTTCCTCTAACATGTAGGCCAGTCTTCCGAAACCGATTTCATAAACGCTGAATAACAGAAACTTGAAGATCCGTGCTAACATGTCGACCAGAGTGTCCCTGCTGAATATATAAAATAATTAAGTATTTTTAAGAAGATATGATTTCGCAAAATTAATGTTAAAAAAATTAAATTAATTTTTTTCCCTAATTTGAACGTAAAGCACATCTAGAATAATTTGAATCAGCAAAGTTTGAGTTATTTTAGATTGTTCTATGTGTTTCTATGTGTTTTAATCCTTACGGTGTAATTTAAAACCACTCACGCAAGAATTACTGACTGAAACTTCGAAAAATTTTAATTTTTAAAGAGTAAAGTGTCCTTTATACAGTTGTTCTAGTGAAAACAGTAGCTGTTCCAGATTGCTTTAGGTATAATAAGTATATCTTTGTAATATGGAATTAAAAATAGAAAAACTATACAATCAAGTAGACATTTTGGCAGCCAAACCTATTTTTAGTTATAACTTCGTAATGATGTATACCATAATTTTGATTTTCTAGAACAATAACTAGAACAATCCAGAATAACAAAGAAAATTAGGATTTTCCAAAAATGGGGGTCAAAACCCCGTTTTTTCGGTTTTTCTCGCCGGTTTTTATTTTTTCTATTTGCCACTTTGGAAACGACTCTATAACAATCTAGAACAACAATGAAAAATTTAAAAATCAAGAAATTTGGGGCTAACTTCCCGCACTCTGGTTAACACTGCTTGTGACGTCACAAAACGTGACGTCACATTGAAAGTTTAATGTGATTTTTTTATATGTTTAACACTTTTCCACACTTTCTTTTTATTTTCAACGTTTTTTTGGTCATTTTACATTGATTAAAAAAGAAATCGTCGATTTTCAAGCCACATGATGGTTCTTGAATTTTTATTTAAATTGAGGTTATGTAAACCATCAAAATTTAAAATAAAAATTTCGTTTACCTAACAAAATATCGGCTGTAGAAAGAGGAGATTTTTTAAATTTAAAAACTTTATAATTAGGGTACCAAGTAAAAATTACGTAAGGAATTCCAAGAAATAAAATGCATAGTAAATGAAAGAAAATTGATTTTTTCCTGTCTTCTGTATACCCAATAATAGTGTAAACTCTATCGACTCCATTATTCAAATTCTGTTCGAAATAATCTCCTATTAGTTCATATTCTAAAATTTATTTATTAATAATAATAGATAATAATTATAATAAAAAATTTTAACACAAAACTACTTCTTACCTGAGGAATACCTGTCTCCAGGCATATTTTCTTCACACTTTAAATAATTTTCGTCAAAATTATTACCTCAACTCTTCAAAAACATTAAATTTATCAAACGACAAAGAGAATTCATCTAAACAATCCACTTTATTTAATAGTTAATAGTTATAGAATAGTTTAATATTTAGTGTGTTTATGTTGGTAGCGTTGGTAGAAGCGATTGTCAAAAATAAAAATTTATTATTTTAAATTTATTCCGATAAGAAGTTGTTATTGTTAAACAATAACTTAAAAATACATTTAATAACATTTTTGTGTTTATAACTCAATAAATAATCTCTTCTACGAATCGAAAAAACAAACAATTTCTTTGACGTTTAAACATAACCTCAAACGTCACTGAGATTGAGTCACTACCGAAATGCCTCTTTATGAAGGTTATGGGGCTATTACAGATAAAATAATCTTTGTAATCGATATAGGGGCGGCTTATACCAAGTAGGTTATATTATTTATAATTCAAATTATTAAAGGAATTTTTTTAAGGGTTGGTTTTAATGGTGAATTTTCACCTCGAGCAATCATCCCAACTGAAGTTGAATATAAAAAGACGGGACAATTACGGAAAATTTACGATTATGAATCAGAAGAAGATCTTTATGACCTCCTTGTTGATTTCATACAGATGTTATATTTTAAATATGCTTTAATCAGTCCAAAAGATCGCCCAGTTATTATTGTTGAATCATTACTTTCAACAACCCTATTTAGAGAAACTTTAGCTAAAGTACTTTTTTATCATTACGAAGTTTCTTCAATCTTAGTTTTACCGTCGCATTTAGTATCGTTAGCAACTTTAGCGATCGATACAGGTTTAGTCCTTGATATCGGTTACACGGAAGCTATCGCAATCCCTGTTTGTTACGGATTCCCTTTAATCCATGCTTGGCAAGCTTTACCATTAGGAGCAAACGCTATACATAAAAAATTAAAAACCATGCTTACAAACGATAACATGGGCATCCAAAACATTGAAGAATCAATTTTAGAAGATATAAAAGTTCGTTGTTGTTTTGTAACCAAACGAGATCGTGCCGAAAAGATATTATCGAATAATCCCGGTTTAAAACCATGCCCAAACATTAAATATCCATATGGAGGTTCGAAAACGTTAAATATTTCGGGAAAAGTCCGCGAATTAACTTACGAGTTATTATTCGAAGAAGACAACGACCATCAATGCATATCAACGATGATTTTGGACGCTTTATCTCAAGTTGATGTTGATTCAAGGGAAAAATTGGCCGAAAATATCGTTTTGATTGGTGGCACAGCCATGGCTCCTGGATTTAAAGCTCGACTTCGTGACGAATTGTATAGGCAATTAAAAAATGAACGGTACAGTAAGTTTAAGAAGATTAAAAGGTTTTTATTTCATACTCCGCCTGCTAAAGATAATTATACAGCTTGGTTGGGAGGTTAGTTTGGTAGGAGTTTATAATAATCATTTTATTTAATTTTTAATGTTTTAGGGGCTATTTATGGAGCTACTGATATTGTGCAGTTAAAAGCTGTAACAAAGGAGCAGTATTTTGAGGAGAATAGATTTCCTGATTGGGCTAATTTAAAGGATTCTATTAAGAATTTTAATAATAATAAATGATTTATTTAATATATATGAATTTAATAAATACTAATTTTTTGCAATTAGTTATTTAAGTGGACTAGTAAATCCTGAGAATAGGTACACAGCTTGATAGCCTGTTAGTTTTTATTGGTATTAAGCTTAATATACAGGTGTCACATAAAAAACGTCCCAAGCTGTAACTGTCATTTACATTCAGATTTTCATGAGCTATGTATTAATTTTTTTTTGTTTTTCAAATTGCTCCACTGTCAGTTATAAGTGTGTTATAAATAACTGTCGCGACAGTTATCAAAATTTCAAACATTACCGCTTACTATTTTGAAATTGAAAGTTAACGCTTATTTTCTGCAAATACACCATACATGCGATACATTATTGGAAAGCTAAAAATATGCTCTTTTCAGTAACATAATAATCAAGTATGGTTTGTATTTAAAAAAACACAACTTTGTGTTGTATCTCCAAAATCATAAAGTATGTTTAAAATTTTTCACCGGCAGTATATTCTACTTAAAAAAGTGTCTTAAGAACGTATCAACCCCATTTCTCTAATTTGAAAAATAAACGTAATACGAGCGTTTTTTGAAATCAAAAATTTGGCTATAACTTAACAACAAAAGAAGCCTCTATCTTCTTTTCTATCAAGCTCTTATAGTTTCTGAGATAGCCTATAATAACACCCAAATTTCCCCTTCCTGTACATCAATGGATTCAAAAAAAAAATCTATCCAATGACGCAAAAAAGTATATACCGAGCATTTTAAAAATCAAAAGTTGACAATCGCTTGAAATTGAAGATGGTATTGGAAAAAATTTATTTGCAGCATGAAACATAGTATTCGTCATACCATTTCATTTGATACCTGGCTCATGAAAATTGGAATGTAAATAGCAGAGTTACAGCTTAGGACGCTTTTGTGTGACAACCTCTATACAGGGTGATTCACATAAGAACCGACACAGAGCAGGGACATGTAGAGGGCAATAAATAACGTAACTTACCTGTATACTAAGTTGTACACCTGAGGAGTTATAGGCCTTCAAAGTTGGCTCTTAAATTTTTAAAAAGTTCAATATCTTCGTAATACATTAAGCTAGAACAACCAAATTTGGTATATGTTATAAGTGTACCAAGGGTATATAATATTTAAGAAAATCTTAGCTATTTATGGGTTTACATCAAAAATTTTTACACGAATCGTCATCATTCTCACTCTAGTATTTGTGATTAATATTATGCCACGACTTACAAAAATACAAAACACCTGTATATTAAGGTTAATACACAGGTGTCTCACGTAACTGGTTCGTTAGAACTTTTTCATGTTCCACTATTCGTAGGAGTTTGAAATTTTGGTAGCATGGGTTATTCATTCGGAACTTTCGATCTAAAATATTTTCAAGATGGCCGCCACTTCCAGTCTACCGGAAGTAGACCATAACTTCGCTATTTTAAATGGAATGCTATAGTTTTTATTGCACAGTTTAATTGTACGTAAAAAAAATAGGTTGACTTTGATAAAAGTTATTGGTACCTAGCCTTTTTTGTTTTTGAGTTATTTTGGTTTTAAACTTTTTTTGATAAATTTCAACATGCTCTTTAAAACTCCATATCTCAGCTAAAGCTCATTCAAAAAAGATATACTTTGGCACGATTACTCTTCAGATGTTGTCAAATAGATTGCCATTTGTTGTATCGGAGTATCTTATACAGGATGGTCAAAAATTGAATTACAGTTTCTCCATATTCAATGGCGAGAAAGTCGAAAATTTTAAATGGAACGCTCCATATTTTTTTAGGCTATCAGGAAGAGAATTTAATTCTCTACAAATTACCTATACACATTCCCATGCCTATTTATTGTAGTTTGCCTCATATTGCGACATTTATTAAAACATGCACGAAATGCAGGTTTTTTTATTAGAAAGCTATGGAATGTTGACAGTTTTTGGTCCATGTTTGTATTATTGTAAACATCATGGTAAATTATTCCAACGTCGTTATTTGAAATTTATTTTGTATTGATGGCGAATGCAATAAACTTTTGGACAAGACGTGTCGAACACTTAATGAGAGATGCCTAACAAACCTAACGCCCATCACGAGGAAAAATTTCAAAAAATTGATATTGAATTTATTAGTTCTGGATATATCGAGACCAAAAGAAATCGCATATTTCCGGTCACCAGTGATGAAGACAACGAAATAAATAATTTAACGTATTTTATTGCATTTCCAAATTCAATTTAATAACAAATTTATATTATAAATTTATATTTTTATTCAAATCTAATTTTTGTCATTAACTTTTTGTTTTAATAGTTTCATTTATTTGATCTTCTGTTTGTTATTTTTGGTAAGTAAAAGCTAGTAAACTAAAAGATTATCAATCGTAGTTAATAGTACAAATAATAATAGAAATAAATTAAACAAAAAACTGTCAAAATGTCATGGCCTTCTAATAAAAATACAAACGGTTTCCTGCATTTTCTGCATGTTTTGATAAATTTACGAATATGAGAGAAACTACAATAAATAAGTATAGGAATGTTTATAGATAAATTGTAGAGAATTAAATTCCCTTTCGTGTAGGCTAATAAAATATGGGGCGTTCCATTTAAAATTTTCGACTTTCTCCCCATTGAATATGGAGAAACGGTAATTCAATTTTTGACCATCCTGTATAAGATACTCTGATACAATATATGACAATCTATTTGAGAGCATCTGAAGAGTAATCGTGCCAATTTAGAGCTTTTTTGAATGAACGTTGGCTGGGATATAGGGTTTTAAAGAGCATGGTGAAATTTGCCAAAAAAACCTTAAAATCAAAATAACTCGAAAACGAAAAACGCTAGGTACCAATAACTTTTATGAAAGTCAACATATTTTTTTACGTACAATTAAAAGGTGCAATAAAAACTATAGCATTCCATTTAAAATAACGAAGTTATGGTCTACTTCCGGTAGACCAGAAGTGGCAGCCATCTTGAAAATATTTTAGATCGAAAGTTCCGACTGAACAACCCATACTACCAAAATTTCAAAACTGTACAAATACTGGAACCTAAAAAAGTTCTAACGAACCAGTTACGTGAGACACACTGTATACAGAGTGTGTCAAATGTCTGGATATAGCCAATAACTTCGTCATTTATGGTTTTAAAGAAAAATGTTTCAAATAAAAAATTCTTTATTCATTGTGGCGCATTTTTTGGCGAATTTTACTTGTTTACATTTGTTTTTTTGTTTCGTTGCTATGGCAACCAAAATTGTTATTTTAAATGGGATGCATATGTTTTTTTTTGAATATTTTTATAGAGAATAAATCCCTCTACGTGATGAACATATCAAATCATATGATCGAGAAAAAATGCGTTCTCTGAAAATATTAAATCAGCAAATTACAATTAAAGTAGGCGCCGAAATAACGCAGTTGTCACTTTTAAATGTCAAAAAATTGACAGTTCAAGTTTATTTTCTTATACAATCATATGATTTGATATGTTCAACGCAAAGAGATTTATCCTCTATCAAAGTATGCAAAAAAACCATATGCATCCCATTTAAAATGTCAATGTTGGTTGCCATAGCAACGGAACAAAAAACAATATAAACAAGCAAATATCGCCAAAAAATGCGCCGCGATTAATAAAGAAACTTGTATTTGAATTTTTTTTCTTTAAAACCACAAATGGCAAAGTTATTAGCTATATTCCAGACATTTGACACACCCCCTGTATATTAAACGCTAAAACTAATATTAGACCTAGAAATATTCGGGTTTAGCTGTGCGTTTTAGTTCAATAAAAATATAGAACAATATAGGGCTGAATAGCTATTAAAACTGGAACTAACACTAGACCTAGAAACCCGATCATTTCTAGTTCTAGGTTTAGTGTTAGTTCTAGTTTTAGATCAATAAAAGTATACTAGAACTAGAAATATTCGTATTTAACTGTATTAAGAGACGTACGGCTAAACTCGAAACTTTCTAGTTCTAGTATTAGTTTTACTTTTAATTGTTATTCAGCGGACTACTAGGCAGACTCTTTTAGAAAGAAATACACATGGTATCATCCGCCTTATGAGTCCATTAAAGAAAGATGATTTAATAGCGGAATCCAAGATCGACAATGGAAATTTAAAGAAATTTTGATAAAAAATAAAATATGTTTCAGCATCAGATTTACGATAGCCATTATATTTTTTCTTTTCCCTGTAATACTGAGACACAACATTTTTATTTTTATATCATAATTCAATGCTATGTAGATTTTTGTCTGCCACTGTACTTTAATTTGAGTTGTCTTTTCTCATAAGCGGACAAAAGTAGTGGAATTGTCAGCTTATTAGAGCTTTCACTGTATCAATTTACAAAAATCAATATTTTAATTTTTTTTAATTATATTAGAAAATTCAAACATAATTAATGTCATTATTATAGGAACCTGTAATAATAATATTACGGATAGTTACTAAACCAAGACATAGATGGAGCTACTTTAAATTGAAATTTAATTTCAAAAAATTAAAAAAAAAATCTTTCTTTTCAAGGATGTATTAAAATATTACTTTTAATAATGTAAATTAAAAAAGAAAATATTTATTTTCACGTTTCAAATTTATTTGAAAAAAGAATTTGTAATTTTTTTATTCTTTTGTAAATTGTCCTATCCAAGGTGGGGAACATTGTGTAAAAACATGAAGCATAGCAAAATAAAAAATTATCGACAGCGGTATGTAATCCATAAAGCAAGTGTAGATAACGAGAACCAGTACGTTCGAAATTGTCATGTAGATAACGTTGAGTTACGGTTTTATTGTTCGTTTACCTCTCTATCACACTACAAGGATTAACAAATAAAATGGCTTTAAATGTCGAAGAAGTTATTAACAAACTACTTACAGGTTGCTTAAATTCATTTTTAATTACATTCACAATTTTATCGTTTATTTTTTTTTAGCGAAAACAAACAAAAGTAAAGGTGGGTTCTTGCCTGAAACAACATTAAAGGCTTTGTGTTTGAAATCAAGAGAAATATTGTTATCACAACCATCGTTATTAGAATTAGAAGCCCCGTTAAATATTGTAGGTGAGTCCGATTACAATTTTTTTATTAATTAAATATATCATTTCGAGTCGATTGTTATTACGTATTTTATATTTTTCATTTAATATTAATTTACTTATCAGGTTGTATTATCGGGTAAAACATTATTTTTATCATTAATATTTAATTGATAAGTTATTATTATATTTTTATTTTATTATCTTCTACGGAATATGGTTATCTTTTTATTTTTTAACAATTTTTTTTATTACTGTTTAATTAAGGTACCCGAATTTTGCTTTGAATCCTGCTAAAATTATGTTTCTAATCGTATTACAATTGCGTTGTCGATAAGTAATCTACAGGATATAAAAAAAATTATCAAAATTATAATCTCACGTTGAAATTTTTCTCGCTCTTTCGAACTTGGAATTCTTATGAATCATCAAACGCGTTTTAACATTCTTTATGTTTAAATCGTAAAAAAGAAACTAATTGTTAGGTTTTTTTACAGTAATTGCCGTAATTAAATGAAAAAAAGGTACTTTTTTATAAGAAAAACGTGATTTGAGACTTGAAAAAGAATAAGTTATACTTCTTGTTCAAAACAAGAATACGCCTTTTCTTTTAATAACATTCTCTACGTCACTCAAGGTTTCAATATTTTAAGTGTAACTTGAAAATTTAACCGCAACCGCTAAACTGGTTAGCGTATAATTATCGTTTTCATGTGCAAAGCTCGTATTCTTGTTATTAAAATGAATTGAAAGTTACTTTACAAAAACGTAAACAAAGCGGTTTACTTTCAATGATAAATTTGTAAAATTAATATAATACGTCAAAGTGGCGTTTAAATGTCATTTTTAAATTGTCACTTGATACTATTTAAATAGTAAGTTGGTAGAAGTGATTGTCACTAATTATTTTTATATTTTTTTAAGTAAATATTAATTTGGTTAATTACCAGGATATTTTTTTAGTAAATAATAACATAAATTTATCAATTAAGTTAATTTTCGTTTCTTTATATAACAATTAACGTTTTTATTAAAATTTTTAAAAGGATGTATTTTTGACGTTTCAACATAACCTATACTTGTCATTTTTTATTAGAGTATGATGTAAAATACACTAAATTATTCTCTATTAACAGATTTTTGATAATAAATGTAAACACAGATAGATTCTTCTATTAACCAATAATCTAGTGACTCTATTTATCAAATGTTTGAGTTCAATTATTGTGATAATAATTTAGATACTTGTTATTAAGTTCACGAATAATAACTAATTATCACAATATTATTTTATGTATCGTTTTATCACATATCAGATATATTTATTTACCGCTGATTCTATTTTATGACATATTGATATGAAATCTTAAAAACTCTACTCCATTCAAACAACACCTCAGTATCAAACAACAATTTCAACATAGAATATGCAATTTGGACAATGACACTTCAAGTTGATTAAAATTTTGATCTTATTAATGCCTTCTACTCTATAATTTAGATACGTCTAAATAATATATGTATATCTCTATAATTTAAAAGTTTGTCTGGGGTGAAGAATTCCAGCTAATTCAGCTTGTGGGCGGTCGTCCAGAAAATCTGTTCGATCTTGGCATACTGAATTAGAAACACAATTCGGGCATTAAGGTTTCCTAGTATGATCCTGAAGGTTTTAATAGAATTGGTCTATTTTAGTGATTGAGAATTTATTTCTCAAGAACTAAGAGTGATTTTTCAAAACGGCTTTTTGCATTAAAAAGAGGATACTTTCATTAATAATTGGTGATATTTCCACAAGGATCCTTCAAGAAATTAATTTTATAGCGAATTTTGAAAGTTATCGATGAAAATTGCAACATCGAAAATTTTATCAAAACTTCAAATATTGTTTTCTCAAAAACTAAAAGTTATTTTTCAAAACGGGTTGGTTCATTGGAAAGAGGACACTTTTATTAACACTTTGGGAAATTTTCATACTCATATTCCAAGAAATGGATTTTATACGAATTTTTAAAACTTAATCGGCGAAAATTGCAAAATTCGAAAAAATTGTCGATTATTTCAAAAATTTATTTCTCAAGAACTAAAAGTGATTTTTCAAAACGGCTTTTTGCATTAAAAAGAGGATACTTTAATTAATAATTGGTGATATTTCCACAAGGATCCTTCAAGAAATTAATTTTATAGCGAATTTTGAAAATTATCGATGAAAATTGCAACATCGAAAATTTTATCAAAACTTCAAATATTGTTTTCTCAAAAACTAAAAGTTATTTTTCAAAACGGGTTGGTTCATTGGAAAGAGGACACTTTTATTAACACTTTGGGAAATTTTCATACTCATATTCCAAGAAATGGATTTTATACGAATTTTTAAAACTTAATCGGCGAAAATTGCAAAATTCGAAAAAATTGTCGATTATTTCAAAAATTTATTTCTCAAGAACTAAAAGTGATTTTTCAAAACGGCTTGTTGCATTAAAAAGAGGATACTTTAATTAATAATTGGTGATATTTCCACAAGGATCCTTCAAGAAATTAATTTTATAGCGAATTTTGAAAATTATCGATGAAAATTGCAACATCGAAAATTTTATCAAAACTTCAAATATTGTTTTCTCAAAAACTGAAAGTTATTTTTGAAAACGGGTTGGTTCATTGGAAAGAGGACACTTTTATTAACAGTTAGGGAAATTTTCATACTCATATTCCAAGAAGTGGATTTTATATGAATTTTTAAAACTTAATCGGCGAAAATTGTAAAATTCAAAAAAATTGACGATTATTTCAAAAAAATTTTTCTCAAGAACTAAAAGTGATTTTTCAAAACGGTTTTTTGCATTAAAAAGAGGATACTTTAATTAATAATCAAAAGTAATAACAGCGACAGTTCTGTTAGTAATGAATGTGATGAGGAATTACAAGCGAAGAGAAGAAAACTAGACGAAACTGCAACAAGAGATTTTATATATCGTATTGGGATTGTTACAATAATAATAATTTTTCCATTTTCCTCTTTGAAGTTGTGATGCCGTCTCCCTGAAGGAATATCATAAACGCTACAGAGATCTGATCGGCTTCCTCCCCATAGCTTGCTTTGAATATGTTTCATAATTACTTACTGCAGATTTGCTTGTTGTTTTTTACTCATCATACTGACGTCATGCCTGATGAAGATCCCATGAAGGATCGAAACATGTAACATGTAGCACAGAAACAAAGTATAAATATAATAAACTTTTATTAAATTATTCACGATGAACATCGAATCCACTCTATTCAAAAATGTTACAATGAGGTTGCTAATGAAAAAACTCCTATTGGGGTTGAACTTGATTATTATCTGCAGTATCCAAAACCTAAAAGAGATACTAATTCCTGTGAATGGTGGAGTACTAAGTAATAGGTTTTTAATATCCGGCCAAAGCCGTGAGTTTACACTTCTGCAAGTTGATGGTCACCGGCAGTATTCTGTCAGAGAGATATTTTATGTCGACGATGTTATCTTAGAACCTCTCATGCAAGAGTAGTGCGACACCAGTTGCTGGTCTTTCATTCTTATCTTTGCCGCTATAATATAAGTAAAGATGTATTTTGTGTTGTTACCTCCAGCAACACTTCCTAATCCTTATTCATTGTTCATGTATGCTTTTCCGAATTAAACTAGCGGTTGAATTCGAAAATTTAATGTTCAACGCAGTTTCATGTCATGATTCATGATGTATGCTTTTAGTACCTAAATCCATTTAAGTTTTTAAGAAACGAGATAAAATTTTAAATAACGTTTAACTTGTTTCTGTTATTTTGTTACTTTAAAGTTTAATTTAGTAATTATAACAAATAAATGTTATTATTCGATTCAAATTATTATAATTATTTCTTTTTAGGTGATATTCACGGACAATATGCAGATCTGTTAGATATTTTTACACAAGGAGGTCTTCCACCGCAATCAAATTATTTATTTCTAGGAGATTATGTAGATAGAGGAAAACAATCGTTAGAAACAATTTGCCTTTTATTAGCGTATAAAGTGAAATACCCGGAAAATTTTTTCCTTTTACGAGGAAACCACGAATGCGCCTCAGTTTGTAGAATCTACGGCTTTTTTGATGAATGTAATTTATTTAATTTATTAACTGTTTCAGCTAATTTATATATATTTATTAACATTGTTTTAGGTAAAAGACGATACAATATCAAACTTTTTAAAACATTCACCGACGTTTTCGAGTGTTTACCGTTCGCCGCGGTAATTGACGACAAAATATTCGCTTGCCACGGGGGATTAAGCCCTGATTTATTAGACGTTGGTCAAATTGCAAAAATAAGAAGACCGATAGACATCCCAAATGAAGGTTTATTAGCCGATTTACTTTGGTCAGATCCAACGCCCGACTTAGGTTGGAACTTAAACGATAGAGGGGTTTCATTTACTTTCGGGCCGGATATCGTTGCTAAATTTTTGAATAAACACGATTTTGATTTGATCATCAGAGCGCATCAGGTAAATAATTAATTTAATTAATTTAATAATTATATAATAAAGGATTTAATTAATTGCGCATTCGACGAGATTGTGTAGAGACAAAAATTAGATAAGATTAATTTTTAGGTAGTTGAAGATGGTTATGAATTTTTCGCATCAAGAAAATTAGTTACAATTTTCTCAGCACCTAATTATTGCGGTTTATTCGATAACGCTGGAGCTTTACTTTCGGTGAATGAAGAATTATTATGCACATTTAAGGTAATTATAATGAAATATACAACGTTTATGAATACGTTTAATAACAATTTTCTTTGCATTACAGGTTCTAAGACCGAAAATAAAAAAATAACTTAATTATTTAACATTTTTTAAACTATTACGTATTCGCCTATTTTTTTAATTATTAATTATTTTTTATTTATAAGGATGTTTTGTTTGTGTAAAGTAATAAGTTATTACTTTCTCTTATGAGGCTAATCTTGAATTGCAACAAAACGATGAGATAAATTGCCATTGTAGAGACACTCTAAGAACAAAAAAAAATGTTATAATATCGATATTATTGTGATAATAAGGAGCTGTTAATTAATATTTTGTTGTTATTATTAACTCACCGATGATATAAGTTCCCTATTAACAATTGTATAACCCCTCAATGATACCTTTGGCGGATTCATCTCAATAGCTATTAAAAACAATTCAATCTACGCCAAAAAAATTAATTAAACCTCAAAAAAGCGTACTTAACATTTATTTTTACCTCTTTTATAGTTGATGTATCAACGGATGTTAAATCCATGTTTAACAAAGTCGTTTGCACTCTACTTGCTATGTTAACAGAAGCGTTATGCGAGCAATCGCAAAAAATATAAAGTAAAACCATGCAATAACCTGCATCAACTAATAAACCCGTTTCTTTGAATGTAAATCGAAAGCCATGGTCGACAATTTCAGATGTAAGTCCATAAATCTATTAAGATTAAAATTATTTAATTTATTAGATATCTAATGAAACACAAAGATAAGGAAAGGAACTGAGAAATCTGAAAGAGCGAATGCTGTGGTTGGAATATTAATAATAACATTATCAACACACACTCTAAGTGAATCAAAGAACTCAGAATTCTATATCATATCTATATATGCTCCACAAACTGAAAGACCCAAACATGAAAGAAATGCATTCTGTAACACTCTTCAAGATCTATTAGATAAAACATATTAATGGACACATCAGAAGGGATGTTATACCTGGAATCAAACAAAAAATTAATGAAAGCGACTTAAATTAGAGTAGGGAGGAGCTTCAACTTTCTTTGATCATAAACGTCAACATCCATGGACCAGCAATAATGTCAGAAAGTCGATTACCGACTTTTGCAAATATTGGAATTGATCATGGAATGGTACTTTGTAAGATAAATATGGATATAGCCAAAAAACCAAATCTATACAACAGAAAAAATTCACAGAGAAGATCCTACCACACAGGATTTATAACAGTCTAGATTACATAAGAAATTGCAGAAATAGCAGAAGAGCAGCAGGGATTCCGAAACAAAGAGACACAACGGTTGTAATCTTTATTATTAAGCAGATTATAGAAAAATCAATAGAATTTAATAATCCCGCCTTTATCTGTTTCATCGACTTGCCTAAAGCCTTGCATCGAGTTAAGAAAGAGGATGTTATCGATATATTAGAAGATGAAAATGTACCAGCACAAATAGTAGACGACATACACACCAACAATTCTATTAAAATAATGACTACACGAGGCATAAACGAAGTACTATGTACTATGTACTAATGAACCGCATAATAGAAGCCATCAAACCCAAACTAGGATACAAGATAGGGACCCAAAATGTTAACTTAGTTTGCTATGTTTCACTTCAACATAGCAGCTAAACAATACAATATGAAAATATCAATGGAACAAACAAAATGTATGGTAATATCGAAAGAACCAAGACGCTGCAAACTACAAACTGAAGACTGTATAATAGAACAAGTTATGCATGTTAAATATCTAGGTGTAAAAATTACAAGCTATCGAGATCTATGTAAGGAAGCACAAGTTACAAGAGTAACACAAGTGGCAGGCTATCTAAGGAACACTATATGGCGGAACAAATACCTGCTTATAAAAAGAAAAATAAAAATATATAAAACCATGATATGACCCATACTAACATATGGCACCGAGACGCCAGCAGAAACATAGAAGAGTAAACAGAGGATGAGGGTGATGGAGATGAAAGTTTTGAGATCTATGTTGAATATGACACTGCGAGATAGGCAGACCTCAGATGAGAGAAAGATGTAACATACAGGATGTAGTAAAATGGAGAAAAGTAAGAAAGAAAAGGTGGAAGGAGCATGTGGAAAGAATGGATGAGAGGAGATTGATGGGCACAGAGCTGGTTGTTCTCGTGTGTGGAGTAAAGTCCAAACATAAGGCTTGAGAAACAGAGATACATTCCTAGTCGAAAGTAGATGAAAAAAGTAGAATCTAAAAGATTGCTATATCCTTTGTTCTTTTGTAATCCAGAAAATGACGTCAGGATGACGTATCGGATCAATACGTTACACTCAGCTATTACTAAACTCGAATGTTTCTAGTTCTAGTGTTAGTTCTAGCATTTGCTAATTGAAAGTGTGAAATAATATGAAATAGTCACTATATGCTATCCTGCTGTCTTAAAATGTTATTCTTTTTACTTTTCTTTTATACTGTTCTTCGGTACTTTCTGATATCAATGTCCAACAATAATCAGCCAACATTTCATTGCTGTTAGTCTAGTGTTAGTTCTAGTTTTACACTAGCACTGTTCCTATATAGAACTAACACTATACCTAGAACTAGAATCATTCGGGTTTAGCCGAACGTCTCTAAAGACGGCTAAACCCGAATGATTCTAGTTCTAGGTATAGTGTTAGTTCTAGTTTTACACTTACATTGTCACTAGAACTAACATTAGACCTAGAAACATTGGGTTTAGCCATACGTTTCTTAAGACGGGTAAATCCGTATGATTTTAGTTCTTAGTGTAACGCTGCACAATAATTGCGTTATGCATCACTTGACTAAGCGACAAATGAACAATGTTGAGTAAAACGGGATTTTCGTTTTCATCTCTCTAAAACTGTCTTCTCAGAATAGACAAGCTCAAACTATTGAAAATTGTTTGGTGCCTATCTATTTTTATCACATAATCCGCTTAGTTAGTCGTTTTACGATTATACAGGGTGTTTCTGTAAGTCGTAGCATAAATTTAATCACAAATACTAGAGTCAAAATGATGTTTCGTGTAAAAATTTTTGAAGAAAATTATCTAGAGTTTGATTTCGTACTTTTCAACTAGTTTCTATTTTATATAGAATTTAAGTCTAACTAGTTTCGGCCCTTGGCCACCTTCAGAGACTCCACAAATAGATTAACATCCCTCATCCTATCCATTTTACAAACAAGATTCTTAATATTTCTTTTTCTTTTGTTAAAAAAGATCACATATCAAAGTCGAAATCAGATTATTAGTTACTAATTTACAAAATTAAAGTTTAAAAGTTTACAGGTTAAAATTTAAGAACGCTCTTTTTTAACAAAAGAAATATTAAGAAACTTGGGAAAATTCAAGAATCATCATGTGGCTTAAAATTCGACAATTTTTTTTAATCAATGTGAAATGACCCAAAAAACACGTTAAAAATAAAAAGAAAGTGCTGAAAAGTGACTAACATTAGATTAACTTCAGTTATAAAAGTTTTATTATATTATAACTAACTTCAGGTTTAAAATGTCAACCTCAATTTGGACATATTTGTAATCTTCATTAAAAATTCTTTAAAATGAGTACAAACACGACATATTTATCTTCAATATTAATGAAGTTATGGTCAACTTCCGGTTAAGAATGTCAATGTCAATTTTGACATATTTGTAATTTTTATAAAATGTCTTAATATTTGTCACAAAAACAAAAATGTAATAAAAAAAACCAAAAATTAAGGTTGGTATTAATATTTAAAAATTAAATTGCTATCTTCATTATTGTTAACTTCGGGTTTAATGTTTTTTATTCAAACTTTTTTGTTTTTTGAGATAAGTGCGTGAAAGAACGCCATGAAGTTGTCTATTTGTCTATTATATGATAACTAACTTCCGGTTTCAAATGTCAACCTCAATTTTGACATATTTGACATAAAAACAAAAATATAATAAAAAAAAATCAAAAATTAAGGTTGGTATTAATATTTAAAAATTAAATTGCTATCTTCATTGTTGCTAACTTCGGGTTTAATGTTTTTTATTCAAACTTTTTTGTTTTTTGAGATAAGTGCGTCAT